GGTTTGAACTAAATTCAAAATAAATGTACACAGTCAGTAGTGAAATCATGTTATTAAAACTGGAACTTGCACATGCATTGAAAGTTAGAAACACAATTTCAGGAATTCACTGGAACAATCTGAAATGGTGCTGAGAGAAAATTATTTAGGAAAGGATGACCTTGTTACCATTGTCCACACGATGGCGACATCTCGCTCATGGAGGGTAAAGTCAGGACGTGGAGGCCGTCTGATACTGGGAAACTCAAGGGCGCGCCCTAGCGTTTGGCAGTAGCATAGCAACCCGCCTGCTTTCACATGTGACTGTCTCAGAGGACGTGCAAAGAATTACACGCCTCAATTGCTGCATCAATCCGAAATAGTGCGGAATTTAAATATCGACGGATTTCTTTCCGGTTCTATATTTCACAGAACGGCGTGGCAGGATTTTTCCTACACACACACATAGGGACAACAGGAATTATACGTCTGTCGTTCGGATACAAATACATTTATCAAATAGCATTTATGATAAAAAAATGTTTTCAGTGTTGGATTTTTTTTTCCTCGGTGCTATGTTTTACAAGCACATCTAGCAGGATTCGTCGCTGCGTTGTGCGAGAGAAAACAGGAATTATTCATCTGTTTTCAACTCCAAGCATATATCAAATAGCACTTGTGATAATATGCTTTTCGGTTTTTTACAATTGAGTAGCTAAGTCAATGTTTTAACCAGGAGTTTTTATCGTTAATCTAACGATTATAAAATAAGGCCTTTTTAAGAATAGTGAATGAGCATCGATTCACTAAATCTTGTCTTCACCCTGACAGAAGAACATCGTTCGGACAGGGGAGTTTAACATTAAAAATGTCGTCGTTCAAAAGAGGTTTCTTCGTCTTTTGTGGGACAAATTTAATACTATGAACTGCAGTTTACTTTTAGCGATTAAAAGTGACTAAGATGTTTGAACATTTAGCAGCTTGTTAAATCAGATCGGGAGTTCGCAAGCGTTCACTCCGATGCGCACGTGTAATATTAAATATTACATAAACAATATTAAATAACAATACACATAGATTGAAAACTGATTTTTGCTCAGAAACAAGTTTAAAATGTGCCCGCATTCTCCACCACTTTTATGTAAGGATTCAGGGCGGATCTAATCCGTGGGGAATTTGCATATCATAATTAATAATTGGTAATTAATAATTATTCATACATGTTTGGATTAGATCTGTCTTACATGTTAATAAATCTCCCGATAAGGGAGGATCGGTCATTCTACCTGCATGCGTGCATGTGAATCCCGGAAATTAACCACAAGTTGCTTGCAGTTAATTACACGGGCCATGTTTCACACACAGGTAAAATGAATTAGCTCAATTGTCAGGATAATATTTGTGGGATCCACAATATCATCTTACTTTATAGGATGTCAGGAAACGCAATTCTCTGGCCAGAAGAATTGGGTTTCCCGCCCATCAACACATAACGTTAACGTTACTCTTTAAAGTATCTGTAATTCGTAAAGCTTGTAGCATTTAGACCTTTGGCACTTAAGTGACTTGAAATTGAGCAAAGAAACAGCACATCAATCTAATGAATATATAATTAATTTAATAGAGGCATGACTACTTATGTATTTACTACGGTTACATGGGATATATGTATTTACAAACACATAGACAACAATGAACGATACAATAAGACATCAATGAACGAGAAATGCATAAAGTTTGGACAATGGATAACGTACACGCGTGAGCGAGTAAGAGAGAGAGGAAAGGGAGAAAGTTGGTGAGAGAGCGAGGGAGAGAGACAGAGCTGGTAAATTGTAAACCTCGACATCAACCTTCTGAAACAACACGAAAACACATTCTTAATGCTCTGAAAACAGGGTAACCCAAATTTACTTGCACGTGGAAGGGTTCTCTCATGTGTTGCTGCGTTCCTTGAGCGGCCTGCATGTTGAACGAAGGTCCTGTCCTGCTTGCGCGCGTCGTGTGGAGCGCGGCTGCAGCGTTTTTGCACGGCCCGTCCCGGCGCGTGCATGGTTGGCCGCTTGCGCGTGGCGCCTTTGTTCCATGGGGGATCACGTGGCGTTCGTTGGCATTCGGCGCGAGTGTTTGAAAGGCTTAAAGTCTTTGAGGTGACGTTACCCGAGGAAATAGTTCGGCAAAGTCCATTTCCTTTCCTGGGAGACGAACTCGGGAGTAAGTTAAAGAAGAGACGAACTTTAGACGAACAAAAGAAAAGATCCATGGTGGGATCAGATCTCCATGAGGAGATCGCTAGCATCACATGTTTCTCTGAGACGGTCAGACTGCAAGAGAGAGAGAGGGCGGAGCCGCGCTCCTACATTTATCACCTCGGAGGAATCCATCCCCTTCCTGTTCACTGGGCCAATCGGGGAATGGATGTTGCACGCGGGAACCCTGGGTTTTATTGTCCTTTGTTCGGAAGAACGTGCCCCTCGTGGTAGAGGGGTGTGTTCAAGGAGGGTGTATAGTTTAGCAGTTTGAATCTTCAATGGCGGTAAAACCTATTAAAAATACACTTTACTTTATATCTCTTTGCATATTCAGATAGCCCGTTCCATGAGCATTTTAGAGGTGTCAAACACATCATATGAAAGTCAAAGGAAAAATACAGAGGTATTTAATATGCATAAAGAAGGTATTTCTAATGTCTATTTATGGCGTGGCCAAACACAGATATTTCACTGTGACATGGGGAAAAACACATATACATTTAACAAAATATATTCAATGGTTTTTATGTCTTTACCCAACAGAAATGTCCCTCTCTTTGTTCAGAGACATTCCGATGGGTTATAACTTTGTAACAGGAGCTTCACTCGTGTGTTGGGGGAGGGAAGGGCTCGTGTGTGTGTGTGTGTGTTACATTCAGTCTTTTTGGGTCTTTAGCAGGATGCATTTAGTTATTCAGATTCACCCTGGCCCAGTCCTTACAAGAGGACAGGCAAGATTTGCACTTTGCCCTATTCAGGCCTTAAGAGTATATATTGAGTGCTCTGTCCAGTTCAGACAGTCAGAGCAGCTCTTCATGTGCTTTGGAGGCTACCCCAAAGGGCATCCGGTCATGAAGCAAAGATTCAGTGCCCCATCATAATGGGGCACACTCCACCAGAGGCACTGCCTCTTCCTGGGCGTGGTTCAGCGGAGTCCATTGGCGACATCTGTGTGGCAGTCGGCTACCTTCGCCAGATTTTACAACTTGGACGTCTCTGCTCTCCAAGCAGGGGTCCTGTCTGTTTAGCTGTGCTTTGAACTCTACATGAACTCAACCCGCTAGAATCTTTTCCTCTAGGCTCCTACCTAGTGGTCTTAGTCTCGGGCGAGTACCTCGCCCTCAGGGCCCTTATCCTCAAGGGTCTAAGGCGCGAGGGCCATAAAACAATTGTCGTTCTGCAATTATAATGGCGCTATTGGATTGTGTTCCCAAAGCATCTAGTGACTCAATATGAGTGTACCGTATTATAAAGACAGGTAGGCGTTTTGACAGGCTGAAGAGCCATAGGTTCATTAAGTTTCACTGCGTGAGTCAATAAGGCTTAGGTATTCTGAGAAAAAGTAGTTTTTCTAAAGCATTTAGCGACTGGAAGATTACAAATTTATTTACGGTTTAATTTAGGTTTCCACTACAATAGTATATAGACGTTTATTAAGTGAATTTTGTAACTACTGTAAAATGTCCCAAACATGCCTGATCATCTTGGGAGTTTCTTCTCAGTGTGAGAAAACTATGGGAGCATGGTTCCCGGGTGACATTGTTTTGGGAGAGTCATGCACCTTTATTAGTGTGAATTCCTGTCTCTGTATGAGAAGGCCTGCTTTTCCTGTGTCACGTGTTTAAACCCTGCTGAGCTGAGACCATTTGTCCTGAAGCTCCTGTCTCAGTGCGTGAACCCCTGCTAAGCAGGTTTCCAAAACCTGTTTACCATCACCATTTGTCTTCCCCCCTTTGATGTAAAGCCCTCCCCCTAAAATGCCTATAAGATACCATGTAAAGTTTTCCTTAGTTGGATTTGATTGAGATGCTACAGAGATGAAATAAAGAACTTATACCTCAACAATCTCCTGGTCTGAACTTTGACTTTTCTACACTTGAGAAGAAAATAAGTTTCCTACACGACGCATTAGTCATTCCTGTTATTTCAATGAACCAAGGTTGCGTTAGTAACAAGTACGTTTCTTTCAGCCAAGACTACTTGAGTTTGATGCTTTTATACATGCTTTTATCTCATCTCGACTAGACTACTGCAACTGAATGTATGTTGGTATTAGCCAATCCTATATAAATCGCTTACAAACAGTCCAAAACACAGTTGCTAGACTTCTGACTGGCACTCACAAATACGAAAAAATCACCCCAGTCTTACTCTCTTTGCACTGACTGTCTGTCTGTTTTAGAAAAGAGTTTAAAATTGTACTCTTTGTTATTAAGGTTTTAAATGGACTAGCACCTTATCAGCTAGATGTTTAAGGTCATCGAATCAGAAACGCTTACTGGTCGTTATATATAGGCTGAAGAAAAAGTGTGACCTTTTGCCATAGTCGGCACTAAACTGCGGGACAGTCTACCACTCTCTATTTGAATAATCTTGTCAGAATCACATTTTAAAGCTAAATTAGAAACCTCTCTTTGAGAAGGCTTATAATCACGGAGTCAAATGGGGGTTGTCTAAACATCATTTGTGTGTTTGTGTCTTGTAGTCATTTAGTTTTTGGTCTTTGTTTTCTTCTAAATGTTCAGCGCAGTGGTCAATCACTGTTGTTTTTGGGCTTTATAATTAAATTGAGATTGACTCAGTGACTAAAGATGATGATGCTAATGTTGAAGAGAGAGTAATGAAGAAGCTGATTTCCAGAAAAGTCTAAGAGTGTAGCCCTTTCTGAGTCTAGATAGCTTGGCTCCAGTCTTACAGTAACTTGTAGATGATTATTCAGAAGTGAACAAATGTTGCAAATAAATGAGTGGTTTTGTGTAATCTTTACAGATTTGCTAAATACTACAAGAACAGTGATGGCAAAGACACCAGGACCCTGATCAAGGGATATGGCATTCGTTTTGATGTTCTGGTTTATGGCAAGGTGAGTTTTCGAAGTAAAGACCGTTCAACCTTTGTTAATGACATTAAACTTGTTCATAATGCAGTTATATTTTCAGATAACAAAACGTCTAGGTTACCTATAGTACGTTACGTCAGTGACTGACGAATTGGGATCGTGCCTGAGAGTCCCATCACCTTCTTGAGTTAACAGAACCAGCCAATGGACATTGGCAAGAGATTTGCATCGCACACCACACCCTGTGCTGCAGGTATTTAGAAAGCGAGTAGAGAGACACTCACCAAGTTTTTGCTGAGGATCCGAGCAGTGCCCGGTCGCTCAGTGGTGAGCACAAGGATTGTGACGATGGGACGTAAAACATCTTTGTTCCCTCCTTCAGGGAACAGGGTTACAATAGGTAATCTAGACGTTCTCATTCAGTCAGTCACTACGAATTACGTCAGTGCCTGATGAATTGGGATCCCTAAGAAAAACGCCACAATTGCTGCACCAGTGCTCTGCGTAAGCCGCCTGATCCCCCTGCACCCCTTAGACAGGGCTTACATAGAGAAGTCAATCACTGCTGTTCCTAATTGTCCCACACAGTGTGAATATTGGATAACACTGGGAAAGCGTGCCTAATCCAACCAGAAAGGGACGCTACAGAGACCAGATCCTGCCCGTAGGGAGGTAGCATGTGGAGTTACACAAATGGACTGGCCAGAGGGCAGTGCTACATATAGAAGGTCCCTGCAGAGGATCCAACCTAGCTAGGGTGGAGGCAACACCAACAGGGATGACAGCAGCTCTGCCAAGGGAAAGACACAAGCTCGCCAACCGGGAAGCCGCACCGTGGAAGAATGCACATATGGGATCACCCGAAGGGAATCACAACATATAGGCACCTAGTCTAGCATAGGGGCTGACCACTGGGCATGCACACAAGTGACACACCAGCGCCATCTTACACATGTGTGTGTGTATGTGGCATGCCGTCTGACATCTCTGCTACTCTGTGTTATTTTTGTGTTTTTATCTGTGTCAAACTGTTACTCACTTCTGGTTTATGATCACCAGTTATTTCTGGATATTCCAGACTTTTTTGTTGCCACATATAACCCAGAGTTAAGAAGCTCTGTGGCTGGATCACAATCCTGCTTTTCAAACTCTGCCTGGGAAATTCCAGATTATCTGTGCAGATGGCCTCATGATGTTTTGTGCAGAAAGCCCCGCAGGAGATGCGGTAAGCGCGGAGGGCCCATTCTCCAGGATTCTGTTGACGATCCCCTGCTACCCTCCTATCCGTGTTCGCCGTGGTGGAGCTACTCTTTAGAATCTTTGCTCTTTGAATAGTCTTTGTTATTGAATTGTCCTTGTTATCTCTGACTCTTTACCACCTTCCAGGATGGCTCTGATTAATGCTCGGTCACTAGTCAATAAGACGTTCATTTTAAATGACTTCTTTACTACCCACGCCTTGGATTTTATGTGCATCACAGAAACTTGGACGAAGGTTGGTGATTTGAGTCCTTTTTCTGACTTGAATGGCAGGCTACACATTTTTTAACTCTCCTCGCTCTTCTGGCCGTGGAGGTGGTCTAGCGGTAATGTAAAAAAAAAAACAGTTTTAGTAGCTACTGCCGTTCTATTCCATCTACAATTTACAATAGCTTTAAAGTACAGCTGTTACGATTGGAATGTGATGATCCTGTTCTGTAAGCGCTGGTGTATCGGCCACCTTACCTAGTGAAAGATTTTATTAATGAATTTGCTGCTTTTGTTGGTGAATGTGTAACTAATTATAACAATATTCTTCTCCTAGGGGACTTCAATATATCCATGTATGCAGAAACCATAAATCTAAACCTCTAACAATGGAGATTTTAAATCTTATTGATTCATTTAAACTGGTTCAGTGGGTGAAAGATCGCTGACTCGCTTGCTTTAGTCCTCATTTGTAAATCGCTTTGGACAAAAGCGTTTGCTAAATGACTAAATGTAAATATAAACATGCTTGGTTTCTTTTCTGAATAAATGCTTGTGCTCAGGGACTATCCCTGATAGCCTAAAACAAGCTTCTGTTACACCTATTCTCAAGAAACCTTCACTTGATGATAGGGATTTTAATAATTTAATAATAATCTCAACACTTCCTTTTATTACCAAAGCTTTGGAGAAAACTGTTCTCATTTACCTCCAGTCTTTTCTTAGCTCAAATCATATTTTAAAAACTTCCCAGTCTGGCTTAAAGCCTCTGCACAGCCCCAAGTCTGCTTTATTACAGGTTTTTAACGATATACTGTTAGCGACTGACTCTGGTGACTCTGTGATCCTAATACTGTTAGACCTAACCTCGGCTTTTGATACAGTTGATCATACAATTCTCTTATCCTGACTAAAATGTTTTGTGGGCATCCAGGGAACTGGTTAAACCAACTCAGTCAGTTTAAATCATATTTAACGAATATAAGTTTCTCTGTTAGACTGGGTAAGTACTGTGGAGTACCGCAGGGTTCAATTCTTGCACCGATTCTTTTTTCCCTGTATTTACTTCCTCTGGGCTTCATTTTCAGAAAGCATGTTGTATAATTTCACTGCTATGCAGATGATACCCAAATTAATTTACCTCTGAAACGCAACAAACATGCTGGACTGAAATCTCTTTTTGCATGCCTAAATGAAGGGAAAATGTGTTTTTCTCAAAATGTCTTATTTCTGAATGAATCTAAAACTGAGGTTATAGTCTTTGGCCCCCATAAAAACTTTAAGAGCAGTAACATTGAACTGAATCACCTTGCTCCTTTTACTTAATCCTACATTAAGAACTTGATTAAGAAGGTGTTTTCTGGGATCAGAACCTCACATTTGAAAAACAAATAAATGAGTTTTTCAAAACTAATAAAAGATTAGTTCTTGTTTTTTCCAGTTACGTCTTCTCGCTAAGATTAAATCCTCTCTCTCTGAGAAAACCTTAGAGATTGCTATCCATGCGCTCATTACATCTCATTTGGATAATTGCAACTCTCTTTACTATGCCATATCCAAATACTCAATTGCCCATCTCCAATTAGTACAAAATGCCGCTGCAAAGTTCCTCAAAAGAAAACGTAAATTTTATCACGTTTCTCCAATTTTGAAATCGCTGCATTGGCTACCTGTGCATTTTAGAATTGAGTTTAAAATTCTTCTCTTTGTTTTTAAATCCTTAAATAATCTGGCACCGAGCTATTTGTCTGAGCTACTCTGTCCATACAATCCCACACGAAAGCTGAGGTCTGGTGATAAGAGACTTTCATCTGTCCCCAGATCACGGTTAAAGCATAGAGGAGATAGAGCCTTTGCTATTGCCGGCCCTAGGGTGTGGAACAGCCTTCCGTTTACATCAGATCGGCACAGTCTTTAACTGTTTTTAAATCTTCTCTTAAAATCTACTTTCTTTCTTTAGCTTTTAATACATTGTGAGCTTCTGTCATTAATGTGTGGTTTGCCCTTGTCTCTTTATCTTGTCTTTTGTTCAGCACTTTGGTTAGCCACGTTTGCTGTTTTTGAATGTGCTATATAAATAAGAACAAACTTGAAACTTGATATACCTGGTGAAGGTGCTCGAGAAACACCAAAGCAGGGTTCGCCAGTTGGGTGACTCGCCTGTGCAGCAAAATGGCAGACATATCACGTCCTAGGAGAGGAATGGCACTGCAAGCAGGACACCAAGCCCATCCACCCGTGTATCATCAGTTTTTCAGACAACACAAAGGAAGAAACAAGCTCTATTTGGAGGTTGTAGAACCTCAAGAATGTGTTAAGTGTCACCCAGCCCACAGATCTGCAGATGTCTGCCAGCAAGGCGTTGAGCGCCAATTCCCAGAAGGAGGCCACTGGTCCCTGAAAGGAGTGGGTCAACCTCCTCGCACCGCTCAGGAACCTGATGACCAGGTCGTACTTTCCTACAGACTTACCTTCTACTGCGTTGTGATGTGTGGCGATAGCGGCAAGCCGGCAACATGCACTTTTAGGGTGGAGGGACCTTCGCTTTAACCCATCTTGCAGAAAGGAAAGAATTACTCTGATTTGGCATTTATGGGGGTATTCTTGGTGAGAACAGCACCATTCAACGAACAGGTTCCACTTCCAAGCATAACCACGCCTTGTAGAGGGGGCTCTAGCTGAAGTGATTTCTAGCTGAAGTATCTACTACTACTGAGGGCAGGTTACTCAAAACCTCTGTGACCCGTCCAGATACCACACGTGAAGTTTCCAGAGGTCTGGACACGGGTGCTATATGGTGCCCGGTCCCTGAGAAAGCAGGTACTTCCTCAGGGGAATGCGCCAGGGAGGGCGGAGGACCTCCCTGACCTTGCAAGTTGGCTCATTAGGGGAAGGCCCCAGGGCCAGCTGTGTGCCAGTGCATTCGTGCCGAGGGTCTCATCGGTCAGGCAATAGAACAACTGGCAGTGGGACGTGTCTGGAGCGACAAACAGGTCTACCTGAGCATCTCCGACGCGCCTCCAAATTAGCTGGGTCACCTGGGGTGGAGTCTCCATCTCCCGGGAGTGTGAGTTGTCGTGGGAGCACATCGGTTGCAGGATTGAGCTTGCCCGGAATATAACCTGCATTGCTTCTGACTCCAGAGGAGGAGATGGCAGGGCGAGTTGCGACATGCGACAGGAGCGTAGACCACTTTGAATTTTGATGTATGCAACGGTCGATGTGTTGTCTGTCCAGACCAGTATATGCTTGTGCCGCAACAACGTAGAAAACGGCGGAGGCAAGGAACATTGTTAGCAATTAGATGCAATTGATAAGCTACTGCAGTCAAGGTCCTGTCCAGGAGCCCAAGGTAGCATGCCTGTTGCACACGCCACACTAGCCGGTGGTGGAGGCATCTGTTGAGACAACAAGATGCCTGGACACTTGTTCTAGGGGAACTCCGGCCCATAGAAAAGCAAAGTATGACCATGGGCTGAAAGCTTAGCGGCAGGTCGGAGTGATGGTCACTCGGAGCGTGCCACGGTGCCATGCCTATCTCGGGACTCGGTCGTGTATCCAGTGCTGAAGTGGTCTCATGTGAAGCAATCAGAGGAGCATTACCGCCATATGCCCAGGAGCCTTTGAAATAATTTCAGTGGGACCACTGTCCTGCCCTTGAACAAATTCAAGCAGTTCAGCACTAACTGAGCACTCTCATTCTTGGGGAACGGGACTTTGTACTGTTATGCCCGTCCCATGATGCGAAGTATAGGAAAGGTCTGTGTCAAGGGAGAATTGAGACATGAAAGTACGCGTCCTTCAGGTCGATCACTGCAAACCAATCTTGCGAGCGAACTCTCGTGAGAAGGCATTGCGTCCTCGAACTGCAAGCTGCTGCCTGCTGGCGATGGAAGAGGGGACTGAGAGGGGCAAGGTGGACTGAGAGGGGCAAGTACACACCTGTGTGAGGACTTCGGCTTTTGCTGCCCGGGAGCGAAGGTGGAGGCCACAGGGGGGTGCTCTCATCTACGAACAGGCGGAGGGGCTGTCACTGGCCGGTGGGTGGAGGCAGGAACGGCCCGCCTGGACAGGATGTGGGCTATCGCCTCCGTCTGCTTTTGTACTGCTGGGCAAACTTCTCAACGGTGTCAAGAAGCCAGCCTGGGAAAGGGGGAAGTCAAGAAAGCGGACTTTGTCGGCCTCCCCAATCTCAGCCAGAGATGTTGCTCCTGGACCACTAGGTGGACTCAGTTTGACCAAGGACCTGCTCAGTGACTTCCGTCGCCCGGAGGGCAAGGTCCATCGCCGTGAACAGTTCCTGCATCACACCTTGGTCAAACCTACTCTCGTGCAGCTCTTTAAGCACTTTGGCCTGGTAGACCTGCATAAGCGCCATAACATTCAGGGTGGAAGAGGCCTCTTTCAGAAGAAATGCTCTTTGTGTTGAAGTGCACAGGGGAAGATTGCCTGCCAGCGTGCAGAGAAGAGCTCTTTCAGAGTTCCTCAGGAAGACGATACCGCTGACGCGTCATCACACCAACACAGGAACACGTCCGGGTTCTGAGGAAAACACACGTAGATGAAAATCAGAGCTGAATCTACGATGAAATGCTCGGCTTCAAAACGAAAGCTTGGTGAGTGTCTCTTGGTTCGCTTCCTATATACATGCAGCACAGGGTATGGTTTGCGATGCAAATCTCACTCGCCAATGTCCATTAACGAGGGTACATAAACACGGGAAGGAGATAGGACTCTCAAGCACGATCCTAACGTAACTCGTAGTGACTAAATGCATGGGAACTAAAAAAGTTGTTTAAGACATGTTCATTAAAGTTTTGTTTTTATCTTTGTACAGGCAAAAAAATTCAGCTTTGTAAAAACAATTATCAACGTGGGTGCACTCTTGTCGTTTGTAAGAGTGGTAAGAATTTTTTTTGTAGATGTAAATTTCATAATTATGGTCATAAAGGGGAGGAACTAGATCTGACATGTTTGTTAAAATATATAGAAAAATTATATATAGCCCATTTAAAAAACTAAAAAAAAACTAATGCTATTCTCTTTTTAATTTATCTGTGGGCCACTGAAGGTGGATTATTTAATCGATTGGGTTGCGTGTGAATGGAAAGGTTACTCAAGGAAGAAATTTGAATATCTTGATGAACAGGAACTTGAGTGTGAGTATTTCATTTCTTAATTTACAAATATAGAATGAATGAATGACAGTAGACTGTCAAAAGGGCTGTCAATAGAGAACACTTTCTAATCGTGATTAAATCGCACACTTGTCGTAAAATTAATCATACATCATTTGTCATGTTTAACATGTTAATTTTATCATAATTTGCTATATCCAGCAAAGTAAACCATCAGATTGAAGGGGTATTCTCACAAAACGTATTTTTTGTAAGCTTTTTTCAATGTAAATTTAAGTCTTTCCAAAAAAGGACACTTGGAGACTCCAAAAGGACACCTGATAACCAAATGACATAAGAGTCCACTTAATTCATAAATTTATGCACACCAAAGCACCCATGAAAAATTCACATTACAGAACAAAACTTTTCAGAATTCTGTGTACAGTGCAACAACAACAGAGTATGTTTAGAGCTTGTTTAGGTTTTACAAGCTCGATATCGAACAGGACCACATGAAGATTCCAAGAAAAACAGAAAAACAAACCTAAACCAACCGCCTGAATTATACGCCTACTACAGTACATGGACTACATTCAGAATTACTAAACACAGCAACATACACATGTCAGATAAAAGCATTATCCTCAATATGTATGGAAACGTACTGAAATGTGTCTATGAATAAATACAATGTGTGAGATCCATCTTCATTGAACTTCATTGAACTTTACAGGGTGTAAAAAAGGCAAAAACCCCCACAAAAACCTTGCGTCACAATAAGTGTAGCGTGATTCTCGTAACATTTGGTGACTAAATAATTTTATTAAGTTTAGTTACAACGCTTACATGGTACAATAACTGGTAGGCTTTTTTTTTTTTATTAGTGCTTGACTCAAATTTTTGATTCAATATCGATTAATTTGGATAAAATATCAGGTACAGTAGCTACATGTTAATTTTTATCAAGGAAAAAAAAAATCCCAACTAATGCTGTAAACATACAAGTCAGCCCTGTCAGCTGGTCTTACTAATAAAGGGTTAAAATGAACTCAAATTAATAATAGTTTTCTTAGACATGTAAATCTGCTTTGAGTGCACAAATACTACGTTTCACAATGCCGCCTAAACATCATCAGTGATCATCATGCGGGTCAGCAGCTTTTATATACAGTGACCTTGCACTGTGTGGGCAAATGTGATTGGTAAGACTAGTCCAATCGAGAGGTTGCAGGTCTTCATTGGTTTAATTAAAACCCACACCCTGTCAATATTGACTTCATGCGGCGCTGCACACAAGGGGGTAATCCATCGACCGGAAGTTGAAGCCGGCCGGGTACCGCCATCTTGTAGCAGAACTTCACTTGCGTTAGCATTTCCATTGACTACCATTCATTTTGGCGTCACTTTGACAGCGAATAACTTTACATCTGAGGCGTTTAAAGACTCCATTTGTCCATTATTTATTTCTAAAGAAACACGACAATGTATAAAGGGCTCCATTACCTTCTATGTTACATTATGGCCCCGTAGAAACAGTTTTAGTAAAAATAGGCTAACGATTGCGTCATAACCACTCGACTCTCTGTCGCTTCAACTGTCTCAACTGAGTTCCAATGAGATGGCTCTGTCCATTTCTTATACTGTCTATGGCTGCACAGACTGAATGGCGTGACATGAAAATACTGCAAGAGCGTCTCGAATATTTATCACGATTCTTGATGTCATACGGCAAACAAAATTGTTTATTTCTAAAGAAACACGACAATGTATAAAAGGCTCCATTACCTTGTATCTTACGTTATGGCCCCGTAGAAGCGTTTTTTGTAAAAATAGGCTAACGATTGCGTCATAACACGCGACTCTCCGTCGCACAGTAGAGAAATTACCGTATAGCCAGAAGTAGAAGCTGCCGCGCAATCGGGTGGGGGACGTGGAGGCATAAAGTCAAGGGAGAAGCCCATAGAGAGTCATAAAGTTGTTCCTGCTGGCACAGATTCCGCTTGGCACAGCTTCTAGAAGACGTACAACTGTGAGACAGGTTGCTCACGTCACATCTACGTCGTCCAGCTCAGTTTGAGCCTGCGCAGTTCGCTTGGCAATTAGGAAGTGAGTGCTTCTAATTGACTTCACTTTTCTCCGTTGAAGTCTATGGGGTCGCTGTGTCCATTTCTTTTACTGTCTATGGGTGTTATAGGAAGTGTTCCCAGTTCCGGCTGACCTAATCTATGCAACTGATTTGAATAATAGGAATGTAACTATGTGTATGCCAGGTTAAAGAGATGTGTTTTTAGTCTAGCTTTGAACTGACAGAGTGTGTCTGCTTCCCGGACAATGCTAGGAAGACTGTTCCAGAGTTTTGGTGCTAAATAGGAAAAGGATCTACCGCCAGCAGTCGATTTAGATATTCTAGGTATTATCAACTGACTGGAAATCTTGAGATCACAATAGACGTAAAGGACAATGATGCAATTTACATATGAACACTCCTGGGGACAACGGAAAAACATATGAGAGCATCAGCTTTCGCTTCTGCTCTGACAGCCGCAAGATCGCTGTGAGTGTGTGTTAGAAATCCGGAATGGTGAGAGAACATTGTGCTTGTGTTTTCCATCTTCGAACCAAACTCTCCAGCCGACAAAGTTTAAATCCCGTCTGGCTAGATCTCTTCTCATAATGTTCACTCATTAGGTCAGTAGGCGGAGAGAAGACGTGTTTTAGTGGTTGTTTGAACACATTCGTCCACATTTACACTACGAAAGCAATCCGGGCGAATGTGTTTTTAACAACAACTCCTATAAGTGGTGGAAAGTGCACAAACTCAAAACATTTTAGACCCGTTTACACTTGTATTTAGCGTCGTACACTTGTGATCCGATTGACAGAAACGCTTATTAATACCAGCTGTAAACGTGGCCTTTGGGGATTTTCATCCTTACACATTCTAGGTATTTATCAGCATTTTACTGAAGTGTCTAGGCTGTACACACTCATAACTTCAATCCTGAAAAAACTCAATTGAATTAAATCTATGAATTGTGTTTAGCATTTGTGAAAGGTATTTTATGAATATATTATTATATAATATAATTTTTTTCTTCATTATTTTATTTGTTTAATTTTAACGCATTAAGGACATCAAATTAATCGCATGTGTTGCCGCATCAATGTTGACAGTCCTAATGAAATTATTCTAGATGATTTTCTCTTACTGACTATTGTAAGTAGCTCTTACACTTTACAATATTTATTTGTTATTAAGAAACTAACAAGAGTTCTTTGTTTCTTTTAGATACCCAATGAAGCACCTACTGCAATGGAGCAATCTTGCGTGTAGGGCCTAATTGATTCTAGGCTTGTGTTTATCTAGAATCATGCTTTTGATTGTGATTTTCTATTGATGTTTCCTTTAGAAAAACATTTTCTTTGATTTTCATGTTTTTCCCTCTTTTGTTACTGTAGAAATAATAGTTTTCAAATATGTAAATCGATGACATCATGCCCATGTGCATTACTGTTTCTTGACAAAGTGACATCACCAATACTGGCCTGGCGTGAATGTTACAGCCTTTTTAGTCGTTTTCACAGATCCGTGTGAACGGGATTGTTTTGACAACAGTCGTCTGTTTATAGGACATCGTTGTCGTGAAAACATGCCATAAGTCACATATACAAACATGGTGTGCATGAATTACACAAAAATGATGATGCATATCTTCATTGAACACATTGGGTAAACATGTACAGTGCAGGCAGAATGATCTATGGATTCTCAATAGAAATCTGTGTGTGTTCATTTAAGAGAGCAACTATACTTCTATGCTGTGCTTTATTTTCTTGGTTTTTATACAATTTAATACTATAATCACTTATAATTAGTCATTTATGTACTTGTCATTTGATTTATCATTTAATCATTTTATTATTCACTTGTCATTTTATATTATTACTTATTTCCCTGCTATTGTTGTTTAATCATATGTTTGCATGGTTTAAAGGGATGTTTGTGTTCATGAGAAGGAGATCAGAGAATGTCTGTTAAAGTCACAGGACGATGTTGTGAAGCAGTGTTTTTCCATTGGTATAATAACACTTGTTGGAATTGTACTGACCAGACGAAGTGTAACATCCAGATGAAGGCTGGGCATTGAGACATACGCAACTAAAATGATTCAATAAACTTTTTATTATCATCACTTCATCTCTGCTCTTCCCTGGCTTTCTCAGTTTTAGATACCAGACAAAAGGAATATCTTCTGGCAGGGATTCGGACCCGAGGTCGGATCTGATATATCTGATGTGGAGATCCATCCGATCTAACAGTATGAATATATGTAGTATGAATGTAATCCAGATGCACTGTATTCATCATGTCGTCATCATCATCATGTGACCTACAGCGTCAGTTGCGTCGCTTCACTGTCATTCTCATGCTATGCATCTAAAATCAGAGGCTTCCATACTATCCCTTTCCCACTCTACAGATAAAGCGTTGTGAATTTCGGCTTGTGTACCCCGAAGTGATAAAATAAAACAAAATTCTGTTTCAAAATTTATAGGCAAGAAAAGTAGTTTGTTTAGGCTGGGTTGTATGAATTACAAACCTGCGCACATATTTTAAAAAGCACATAAGTATAGAATTCTGAATGAGCATGTGAACGCCGTCAGCGTTAATCACAGGTTCGCGTTTAAAGTCTGATCATTTCGACGGAGGTGAATCAATCAAAGTTAACTTTAGCTGGAAGTAACATTATTCAAGAACCGCTATAACGCCAAAACAATCTGTTACCTTAAATTATATGTTTATCTCTGTAAAGCTGCTTTGAAACAATCCATTGTTAAAAGCGCTATATAAATGAAGATGACTTGACTTGACTACACAGTATCCGGGAAAAGTACGCCAATAAAGCAGAGTCCGAATTCACAATAGTCATAAAAGAGGAAAAAAGTACCCGGATGAGCAACTTCTCTCGGCGAGATTCTGAAGTGTGCATTTACTACTTTGTGAGGCGACAGGAGAGAGGATTTATGAACGACAGTGAGCTATCATCAACTGATGATGATGATGTCTCATGTGACAATGATAACATGGTAAATGTAGTCCAGATTACATTTACACATAACAGAACGTACTCAAATGTAGTAGCATCTGTGACAGTATGTGGTTTTGGACACAGCGATGGGATAGTGGCGTAAAAATACGGAATACCATATTAATTTGAAGGAATTATCCGTGTTTGTCTTTTACAGGTCTTTTACCCGTATTTTGAATTATGCATTGCATTGTGGGAACAAGAACCTGATCGGCTCGAAAAGTTTGAGACGCAAGCAACATTACACACACAGATGATAGCGGCCAAAGTTGCTTTTTAAAGTCGGATTTCGGATGTGTGGAAGCCATTCTGACACTTCTGTGGTAAAAAACGAAAATTATTTAAGCTGTTTACGTAATGTTATTTAGTTGCCATCTGGCTTGTTAGGCAATTGAATATCGGAGATAAATGAAGGTAGTTGGTTTTGTCATTGGCTGTCATGAGGCTATTATAACATTTTAATGACAAATTCAATTCGTACCACTGTAGTTGAGGTCAAGAAAAATATTCATGACAGTTATAATGCCTCATGACAGCCAATGTCAAAACCAACCACCTGACAGTTTAATGTAATGTTAACCCATTAAGAAAAGGGGTTTCTGAAGTTTGATAATTAATCTGCTATGTCGTGTTTATGACATATTTATGACAATTTATGTTGTCTTGGTAATGTCAAGTTGTCATGACAAAGACACTGACAGGTTATGATGTATTGGTTTATGTCAAGTTGCAATAACAAAGACATCTCAAACAATGTCATATTTGCATTAAAAATGTCATAATTGAGCGAATGACACTTAATGTCAGTTGTCATAAACATGCATAAAACCTCCTATATATTCTTGTCATGATTATGAAGGTGTCATGTCAGTCTTATGCACACCCCTTCAAGTAAAGTGTTACCCTACCACTTTCAAGCTCCAGAACGGTAGTAAAGACATCAAAGTAACACCGTGTCCTAACCAAATGCGATGCGATAAGATTCTAGCATGTTTACGTGAAAATGTTTACAAAAATAAACCATGTTCAATTTGCAATTCTATTTGCAACCAAAAGATATGCCATAAAAATTCTATAAAAATTGTCATTTCTGTACAAGGATTATCCGTGAATAGTAAAGAAAATGTACTGTAAATATACAGAATTTTCAGTTTTAGAGTCAGTAGGGGTTCAGCGGAAAAATCGGCAGCCGGAAGTAGCTGCCATTGACAGCCGGAAGCCCTGGCAAATTAGGAGGGAGAAAGGAAACACAAGGAAAGCCAAGAAAGGCTTCAGGCAAAACCAGGAAACACGAGGAAACAGGAAACATTGACAACGAACCAGCACAGGATTACAAACACAGGAAGGCTAAATAGGGGATCAAACAAAGGAGGGTAACGAGCAGGACAGGTGGGACAAATTAACCAATAATCAGATAACAAGATGGGAGGGACTAGACAATAAACAGGAGAGCACATGGCACAAGGGAAACACATGACAAGCCATGTGCTCACAATAAACAGAACTAGAACACAAGCACATGACAAACCGGGAATGTCAGATCTCTTGTCACCCACTAAGATAAAACCAGACAGAAGTGACAGAACCCTGACAGTGAGGGGCTACCATTAACTTTAAATACTACGTTATTATTACAATCACCAACCATTAAATATTAGCATTTGTTAACATGTCAACTTAATCTATGGATTAGAATAAAGGTAATGCTGATTTATTGGAATTATTGACAAGCTCAGCCTACACGTGCAACACTAACCATATCGTTTTTTGTGTATTTAATTTTTCAGGGGATTGTCTGATATCCAACCATTTATTGATTTTTGTTTTATTACTATTGCATTTTTTGACAAAACTGTTCTTTTAAGAACTACCTTTCTATCTCTAACTCTGTGTACACCCTGCTCTACACCTCTTGTGTAACTGCCAATTATGGCAGGTAAGAAGCCAATTATTTCCCAAAATCTTACTAACTAAAGTTCATTTGAGAAGAACTTGCAAAAAACCTGCCCATGTTAAAGATGTAATTAGACTTCTAAAATGTTCTACCTTTATATGTGAATGAATATATGTTGCTATTTTGAGGTATGTTATTTTCTCGTATACACTGCATGTGTAGGAATACCCTTTGCTTTTGGAAAAGATGTCGTCTTTTCTGGGACAGGCAGTTGTCCCTACTGTACAACTGGGGTGATGTCAAGGCCTGAGCACTTTCAGGAAAAGCATGTAAAGCATGCCATATATTTTGAGGACAATGGCATCCATAAGCATTGTACAAAGCACACATGCATTTTACATGTTTGTTGTAAGTTAAAATGTATTAACATTCTCTTGTCTTTCTAGAAAAATATTGTGTTCTTTGCTTTTGTTTGAATGCCCGACAACAAAAGAGGTGCCATTCGCATTGCCCTAAGTGTCAGCACATCTTGTGTCGTGCCCCTGACTTTTAAAAGCACCTACACAATCATAGTGCAATGTAATTAGTTACACTTTAAAGTCTTGCTTCATTTTGATTTCATTCAAGTTATGATTAACTCACCTCATCTTTTGTCCTTTTTGCAGATCTTTCAGTTACATGCAAAATTACCAACAAGCCAGACAGTATTTACCTTTGATACTGTTATTTAAGAATGTTTAATATTTGTTGATCTTTGTCTACTTTAACATGTTTATATTGTCCCTCAGAAATGCCATCATCAGAAAAACCAAAGGCAGGGCAGCAGGTCTAGGAACAGCCACCTGTCATTTGTATTGATGTTAAATGCAAATGAGCTGCTTCTCCCGGACAGAGGGCGGAGCCTCAACAGCTCGTTCTTAGCAAAGCCATAGAGCCCTTTGTTGTGTTGTGGGTTTATGTAAATTTTAGGGTTAGTGATGATGTCACTAGCCCGGGAGGAAGCTCGTGTAGTCCCTACCAGTTGTTTGTCCTTAAAAAGTGATTTCTGTATAAAGAAAATTCCCTTTGCTTTGAACTTAGATCGTCATAACTTATTCATATTGCAGATGTTGTTTATGCTCAAACAGCAACTAAAGTTAGAAAAGTGAAATCATAAGCAAGCACCCCTTTAAAAATGTGTTATCTGTCTGACAGTATGCACTGTACAAGGTGTTTAACTGGGAGTTTGACTTCACCCAGGTAAGCACTATCCCTTCTCTTAATATTTTTAGGAAAGCTATAACTTTTGTACATTTTAAACATCCATTTCCAAATGTATCTTTTGCTTTTCAGAATGATATGGCCCATATCAGGCGGGGGTGGGTGAATCTGCTCTTGTCAAAAATGGCACATGGAAGGTATAGATAGAATATGTAAATAAAAACTATTTTGGCTAAGTAATGTTTGGTAATGAAATACATTTGTTGTTTTTTGAAAGAGGAAGCGCACATCAGCCATGTCAATCAGTGAAGAGACAAAACGACAGGAGGCAGGACAAGTACAGAACATCGAAATCTTGATGGTAGTAGTACATTCAATATGCCAAGCCTTTATTATCTCACAAACTATTATAGTAGCTTTATGACATATCTTATTGTTAAATTAAATGTTTTCAGGTATTACCTGCACCCATAGGATCCACATTTTGTTTTAAGGGAGGTTAGGTCATGATATTTGGAAATGGCAGTATTCATTTTTTGATTTGTTTGTAATACCCAATAGTTGACGGACGCTGTCCTGTCTGAAATTCTTCTTCACGTGTTCCTTGGGGAGGGTGATTCCGGATTGTTAAATCTGTCTTTAGTTTGATCTAAATTCAGAAGTCTGGTGGATACAGACTCGTTTAGGAGGAGGGCACACTTCTGCTGGCTTGACAGTATGTTTGTATTTACTTTCTTTTACACATTTGATTTAAATGTGGTTAAAAAGGTAACTGAGAAATGTATTGGTATGGCAACATGTCTTCAATTATTCTCTTTTTAATCATGCTCATTGTTATGCTCCTCAAATATTCAGGTGTAACAAATTGGAGAGAGAAGACATGTCAAGAATATTATCAGATGTACACACTGCAGCCCGGCAATGATATTTACAAGAACTGCTGACCAGGTGTATCAATTATGAATGAAAATGTGCTTAATGACAAAATGCAATACGAATAGTCATTCATGTGGCTGCATCCATGTGTACTGTTAATAAGGTAATTTGGATATTAATGTCACAATTTTCTGATGAATCCTCTAGGTTATGTTGGAAGAGGAAAACGAGGAGAAATCCAAGGCTTTTACTCGGAAAACACCCATCCGGGGTTTTGCAGTGATTGGTGTCAGCTGCTGGAGAGTGAAAATTCGTTCAGTTCCAGTCTAAAAGCCTGCTTGATCATCTAACTGTGTAGGACACAACACGAGAGATCGGTTCCACCCAGCACACCATCGGGCAGGAGGTACAGGTCTGCTCCAGCCAGAGCCACTGCTGAATAAGCCTACCTCCTCCTCTCACTTAACACTACCCAACAACTGCAATAACTGTCAACTGGACTTTGCATCATTGCAGCACACACACAATTATACACATTTTCTGGTTAATAGTGATTCTTCACCTCATATGCACTTTCCTTGTTTGTTATATGTCAATTTGCCCTGTTTCCTTGCTATTGTTGATCTCACTTAATCCGTCTATTATACATATTATCCAACATTGCAATAATTGTGACCGGACTTTGCATCGCATACAAGTATACTCTCTTTTCCTGTAACTAGTGATTCTCCGCCTCACACTTTCTTTCTTTTTTCCTGCCGCTATGCCCGGTTTACAAAATACTCTCTTGTTGATCTCTTATACCTCATGAAATTGCACTGTCGACTGATGCCCTAATGTAATTTCATTCTATCACTGCAATGACAATAAATTATTATTATATTATAACTAATCTTTAACTTAACTAAAATTCTTTCTTTCTTTCTTTCTTTCTAACTTTGCTAATAGAAGAGCTCAAGTCTGAAGAAGACCCTCATCAGTCTGTTTTCTGCTGACCAGGTTAACTTACGTGATCGGATTCACATAATTGTACTTTTATGTGTATTTCTTTAATGAATAAAGTAAACATTTCTGTACTACTTTCTGAGGGGGGAGTGTTTTATCAGTATGTTTTGGTAGCCTGTCCTGATAAGGGTGAGCTTAGGCCCTTTACAACCTTGGAGAAACTGTGATTCCCTTGTGTGTGTGTGTGTGTGTGTGTGTGTGTTGAATGCTCTGTGCAGGTCTTGTGATATGCAACAACAGACCCCAAGATGCATTTCTACGACCTCTGAGGTCATCACCGAACCAAGTCTTGGACTCGGATGACAATAATCTTGATTAATGTCGACTTACCCACCTATCCATGAGTCTAGAATTGTTTAGACTTTTCTCTTAGCCAATCAGAAGTAGCCAACATGCATGTACGGATGTCATTCATGCCCTTGGAAATGGTATAACTGGTGTGAGACTTTATGTACGGTAGACTCTCTGGCCTGCAACCTCCTCGTGAGATTTTGAACCTGGCTCAACCGATGAAACTGCAAACTATTCTTCAGTAAATGTTCACTTATTTGATTGAACCTCACGACTCCTGGTCTTCTTTCGTCATATCTGGTCCTGGGTCTTTAAGCTGTTACCCCCTAACACTAGAAACATGGTAAATCTTGTTAAACCATGCTAGAACATTGTAAAACTTTCTGGCTAGGCTTTTTCAAGCCAGTTTTCTATGATCTTTACCATCTTGTTCAGGATTGTTGTTGATCATTCTGATTTCAGAACAAATATCAAGCCTGTTTAAAAAGTTACAGCTGCTTTATTAAACAAATACAAGAATGTATTCAAGTACTGCAAATGTAACTTAATGATAGCAAAATATGATTTTAAATAAAGGTCATTGATGAGACAATGTTCTTTTTTTCTTTTAGACAGGACTTTCATTATTTAAGTTTAAAGAATGTTTATGTACATAGGAATTCATTTATGCATGTATAAGTAAGGGATAATCCACGGCTAGCCATGCATTAAAGGATTTTAATGCACAACGTAGAGGCGAAGAACCACCTGATGTTTCAGGTGTAATTTTTTAACAGACGTGTAAAAATGACGGTTATTTTCTTAAGTTACGGCTTGTTGGTTCTAGCCATCGGATTGCTTTTATTTGAATGAATATCACATTTATTTAAATTCATTTTTAAAAGATAGAGACAGAGAACTGAAAGAGAAGGAACAGATTGAGAGAGAGAGATGCGTGCGCGAGTTACCTGTGTGCGTCTCTAAAGTCTAACCCTCGTTGCTTAAGCAAATAGCTAACTTAATGATTCTTTAATGGATTTATTAAAATTATTTATGAATGACAGGCAACACTGACAGTGACAAGGCAATCTTTATTTGAATCATGTCATTTATTTAAACGAATTAGCTGTATGTCAAACCAAACTATTCTTCCCAGTCCTGTGGGTGTGAAAGGGGAGAGTGCAGCATTTCTAATGTTCTCCAAGTCAGACTCAGTAATACGCGGATGATGAACGCTGGTGTCTTTTCAATCTTCCTGTGGCGCTTTAAAACTGATTTAAAGACGGCATTGCTTGACTTGAAGTCCATATGATGTTGTACCTATTTTGTAATGTGACGGTTTATACCTGCTCTGAGACGCATCAAACTTGCAACACTGTATTCGCGTCCAGCGGTAGACTAAACAGAGGCATACAACTCCCGCAATGTCTCATTTAAAAGAGAAGCAGAGTAACGTTAGGTCTCGAAATCACAATTGTTCTGTCTTTGGCGCAAAAAGTCACTGAAAGTGTTAACTGCCCATTTATTCGTCTTTTTCGTATTGACCTCATCTTTGTCGTCTTCAATCTTCTCTAGCTCTGTCGGTGTTAATTCTTTGTGCCGCTTTTTGTCATTCAACGTCTTCTCCAAGTCTTCTATTTCATCTTGTGCCTGGGCCCATTTCTCAAAATTACCATATTCACCATACAAATTAAACGATATGCAAAAATCATCCATTTAGCCTACCTAAATAAACGTTTTCATGTGTGTCTCTCTCTCACTCTGTTTGCAAGTCTAACTGTGTTACTATGGTTACCAGTGTTTATAGTAGCGGATTAATTTCGAACTGTAATCAGACTGACTGGAACTACCTGTGCATTAAACGGTTTTACTACACACCTTCCAGCCAATCAGAATCGAGTATTTAAACAGCGGTGGTATAAATATCATTATTTAACAAACATGTACACTCATTCATAAGTTATATTTATACATGTACAAATGCATAATTTCAAGTGTAGCTTGTTTTTTTTTTATTTCTTATTGTGTCTATGATCTTCGTAACTTGATTTGAATCAAATAATATAAAATAAGTACTAATAAAAGTATTTTATGTAAATAAGTACTAAAATTATATATGATAATTTATTTGCCTGGCTAAAAGCGTCATACACCTCCGACTTCCGGTTATTAGCGGCAGCTGACGTCCGGTTTTATTGGCAGGTGCTTCCTGCTGCCGATCGTTCGCTGGACCCCCTCTCTTTAGAGTTGAAGGAACTGTCCGTAATTTAGCAGAAAATGTCCTGGTAATTTTCTGGTACATTATCCGTTTTTTAACGGAATATTTTTTACAGTGTAAGGTTATCAGAGGTGAATTACCAACTTAATATTTGTGAAATCTTACTTTTATGAGGCCATGAACGTTGATTTTGAAGTGTCACCAGTTCAAACAAAACAAAGAAAAGCTCAGTGAAATGCAGCCACTTAAGCCCTATTTGGATGGGATTAGTTCTACAAGGGTGGATGGAGTAAAGTAATTTACCTCTGTAATAATAATGGGCAGTTCGCACGGGATAAGACATCTCAGTAAAACTAGCAGAAGTGGGAGAGTAACTCGATTAAGACACCGCCGTCACTCCTGTCGTCATGTGTGTGTTACGCTGCTTCCTGACATCACATGCACACACACATATAACCTATATTTATATATATAAAACAGTTAGGTCTGGTTGGATGATGTATTAATTAAACTCTGTTGGTAATAGACACTTAGCTAACGCTAGAAGAAGAGTCGTGCCTCTAACGAGTGCTGTCGGTCTTCTTGCTCTCTGAGTGGTGTGTGGAAACACTGGAGTTTAGCACAGACGTCTCCCAGTGTCTAGAACACAACTGATGCTTCATCAAGCGCATCCATACTTGAGAAACCGCGGTGAACTACTTCTAAACAGGAGATGATGGAATATTTACGTACATTTACAGCGGGTCTATTCACACGGGATTAGAGTCACCTGAGGCTTTTTCCAGCAGGTGAAAGTCTCTGTAATCTTTACTGATATTGACCGTGATGATGACTGAGACGCACATTCAGACGGGACTACAATCACTGACAAGCTCTGGTAATAATTACTCAACCCCCCCCTCTCCATGTTAAACTAGTGCCGTCTGAAAAGGGCTTTAGTCGCAGTGTGAGGGCCTGATAAACACACACATCAGATCAACAGAGGAGCAAACGCCTGAGGAAGGCATCATAAGCTGCAGATCTTGAAGTTTAATGCATGTGAAGGATCTTTCAGCTGTGTGTTACAGTGGCTCGAGCGAGTACACCGTGGGGCAGTTGGTCTGGTCGGTCACCAGTAGACTGGGCTTTCCCTCCAGCACAGCGGGACAGACCCAGTTCACCTTCTCTGCGTGCTGGAAACACAGGCGGGGTGTCATCGCCTCCTCCTCCTCGTCCTGCGGGTCCTGGCTCCTCCTCGTCCTCCTCTTCCTCCTGCTGTGCTCCACCAGTGTGTGTCGGCTGAGGTCCCAGAGCGCCACGCGCCCGTCGTTGCCTCCGCTGGCGAGCCAGTACGGGTGCGAGAGAAAGCTGATGAAGTGAGCCTGCGACGCCCCCTGACTGTGTGCCGGGATCATCCCGCGCTCCCGGAGCCGGCCGTCGGCACACACACGCAGCAGGTGCAGCCCGCCGTCCTCCGCCGCGCACACACACACGTCCCCGCAGGACGACACACACACGCAGTGAGCCAGAGGAGGGTTGAACACCTGCCCCGTGTGCTCCTGCTGTGTGTCCTGCAGACTGACACTCCAGACGGGACGGGGCTTCGGGAGGGTCCACAGACACACCTGCGGGCGACACACACACACACACACACACACCTGTCACACATGTCTTTACTGACACTTTTGATCAATGTAATTCATCATTGTGAATACAAGTATTGATTTCTGTCCCCATAAAAACAAAAATAATTCTTACTGACCCCGAACTTTTGAACGGTAGAGTTTAATGTTACAAAAGATTATATTTCAGATTAATGCTGTTCTTTTGGACGGTCTATTCATCAAAGAATCCTGAAAACCCCCGTAAATAACCGTTTTCAACATTGATAATAACCATAAATGTTTCTTGAGCATCAAATCACCATATTAGAGTGATTTCTGAAGGACACCAGTCAAACTCATCAGTTTACATGGAGGTCGACCTACAGCCAAACCTACAATTATTCAGACACCAGATATCATTTTTGATTTTTTTTTTTACTAGTGTGTGCAGGACATTATAGTTCATTTATGTAAGCGAGGAGAGCAAAATAAAGTAAACTGTGACACATTATACGCAAATATTCTTCTACCAGTCAAATCTATATAAAAATTTGGGACCAAACATTATCCAGACCGGACCATGTTTTGCTGAAGTGTGTTTTCTGTAATTGCTAATGCTCTTTTTACACACAGACTGAACAACATGAAGCATTGCTTGGTCACTGGTTGAGCTAAACTGGTATTATCTAATTGTGTAGTTAAATTTAACAGCTGACAGATATTCAACATAATTCATGTGTGAGAGTCTAACAGAAGGACGGACAAAACCAGTCAAATATCCACTGAGTTCTGCTCATGCTTAATGACCATTTTCTTAACAATAGCGAATAAACTGTGATAATGTGAGAAATGTTGAAGGTGTCTGAATAAATGTTTGACTGTGGTTCTGTCGCTTCACAAGTTTTCATGTGTAATGTGGTTTTTTGCACTGTCAGTGTTTTCATGGTTAAAGTTTTGCTTTGCATCATCCACATATAGCTGGTGAAAATGCAGTGCTAACAGGGACAGTGTATCACATTTCAAAATATATTGTGGAAAATTGGCGGCAAAAGAAAGCTGAGCAACTCTTGCTCTTGAAGAGAAAGCAGTCTACTTTGCTGTGTGTACAGCAGTTACATTAACATCATCTGTGTAGCCCTGCAAAACTATGTTCTGGACTCGAGGCTCAGTTTGTTTTGGTTCTATCACTAAAATTATTATTACCGTTTTGCAGTCATTTTCAATTTAAGTAGAAATATGTTTACATAATCAGCAGGATCATGCCTGTTGTTGTTTTTATTAAAATGATTGTGTAGCATATTAAACGTTTTGTATTCACAAGAGTTCATTACTTTACTACTGTTTTGCTTATAATAATATTTATTGGATAATTGATACATTTTTTTACATTTGATTCTGTTGAAAAGACCTGAATGGAGAATAATACATTTAATTTTGTTCTAAAATATTTTTAGTCCAATTTGTTGTTGTTACTTTCAATAAAAGTTTGATTATGTTATTGATCGTTTTTCAATTCAGATTAATACAATTTCATGATATTAAAAAGTCTAATATTAATACAATTAAATCATTAATTAAAAGAAAAGTCATTTTTGGTGTCGGTTTTCGGCCAAGTGCATCCAGAATTCGGTGCATCCATATTTATTTAGCCAACGTTAAAGTCGTTATCTTACCGTTTAGAAATATGTTGTTAATGAAACCACTGTTGAATCATTTACAGTAAGAGTACGATTACAAACAATATTATACCTTGTACGGTTTTTCACTGTGGTTACCAAATTATGTAAATGACAAATTAAGCTGTGTGCACAAAACATAAATCTGTATTGAGTGACATTCGTAATATCAGTATTGAGGCGTCTCATCCGTCAGCTGATGTTCACTACTGTAACGAAGAAGAATGTTTGCGCTGTCATAATGTGCAGGAATTAACGCCGTTTTCTCAGTAATATCAGATGTTTTCCTATTAATTTGATAGAATGTAAGGGAATACCAATATGACGGAGCGGTGGCTTCAGTTTAGGGTTGGGTAACGTTTGGGGTTTTTGATACTGGTGCCAAATCGATACTTTTAAAACGGTACCGGTGCCTGAACCAATACTTTAAAAAAAGATGATGAATGACATTAAAGAACCTTTTTAATTGAAAAAACAAAAAAATAAAAATTCGTAAAATTGAATATATTAAAATTTTTTAGTAAATATAGAAATATAAGTAGTCTTAATACAAAACACAACAAACTTACATAACAAATTCACATTAAACCTAAGCCACCTAACCCAACTGCGATAATTTAACACTAGAGTAGTAACAGCAAAGTCTGTATTGTTGTTACGCTACAACCCTTCTCCTGACGTACTGCATGTCCCGCTCACGGTGAGCGTTATTTTACAGCGCATCCCCTTGAATGCCGTGACGTGAAACCCCTCGTGGAAGAAGAACGCCGTCATGTTTACAACTGTGAATGAGCGCTCACTGATGGATTTACAAAAGTATGTGAAGTTCGCGGCTCTATTGTTGCAGGAAACTTGCACAACGTTGTGAATGATTACTGATGTACGCCAGTCTGTTATTGTAGGGACGTCGACTTCACATTTTCACACTAAACATGACGCGGAACAAATAACGAACTGTGATTGGTTGCGTGACGTGTCAGTCAGTCCTTGGCTGATATTTTTATTCTTAAATACATGTAAGTGAATGCGTTTTGTCATTTAAGAAACCTTTATAATGATCATGATTCATGTTAGTTGATCTATAACGCACCGCAGTTCAGAGAATTGCAGAATAGAGTTAATTTTATAGTTATTTTTTTTAGCATAGGCTATTGATGTATTTCCCAATGCCTTGTTATATTTGAAAAAAAATGCGGAAAAAGGTTCTTCCTGTTGACGAAAACCCTCTCAGTTGGAGGCAAAATCGTGCAACAACACACTCGACAAAACCTGCACATCAGTCAGAGCTGTGTGTGTGTGTGTGTGTGTGTGTTGTTCGTCAGCTGAAACACTGTCAACAGAAAGCGCTCAGCATGTGTGTGTGTGTGTGTTGTTCATCAGCTGAAACACTGTCAACAGAAAGTGCTCAGCGTGTGTGTGTGTGTGTGTATGTGTGAGCTTCTGGTGTGTGTGATGATCATGTAGATGTAGTGAGTAGAAGTGAGTGTTTCTGAATTACGCTGTGTGTTGAAGTGTTTTCTCAGGTTACTGATGCACTTACAGTTTTATGCACTGTTAAAACCTAATTGTCCTTGTGTGCACATTAAAGAAAAGTATATCTTATTTAAGAACAATTGTTTCAAAAGCTAATGCACTTTAAAAAGTGAATGTCATTTCAATAAAAGATGTGATGCTTGATTTGGTTTATATTGGCTCATTGCGCTCGCTCGCTCCCTCTTGTGGGCATCAGAGACGATACAGTACTTTTCCCCTCTAACAGTAAATATTGCTTTAGAATTCGAATATAATTAGAATTTTGCTAATATTTAATAAAGATTTTTGAATTGAGCTTTTCAGCCATTTTGACAGCCCTACTAAGTAGTGAGATATCATAAATAGGCTTTATATCAACCATTAGACACTATTTTATAAAACAGGATGATCTCGTCAAGTTTCACCAAGAAACCCTTGGCATCACAGCGCCTGTAACACAGAGCCGCCAGCGAGCGCTTCAGAGACCCTGGGAGTCGTCGTACCTGCATGTCGAGTCCCGCAGACACCAGGCTCTGAGGCCGGCGCGGTCTGAAGGCCACGGACGAGCAGATGTTGGTGTGTGTGCGCAGCGTCCCGCTGGCCTTCATCAGCTGCAGGTCCACGAGGGTCACGGCCCCGGTGTCGTCGCCCGCAGCGAGCGTTCGCCCGCTCTCGTCCACACACACACCGTTGATCTCGTCCTCGGCCACGTCCCCCAGCTCCGCCAGCGGCGTCTTCAGGCTGCGGAGGTCCAGCAGGGTCAGGGCCCGCCCGTGACAGGCGTACAGAAGCGAGGCGTTGGCCGGGGAGAAGCACAGGCCCGAGACGTCAGCGCTCAGGCGGAGCGAGGAGAGCGGAGAGCCGGCGGGGCTCCACAGGGTCAGCTCTCCGGCCTCGGCTCCGGTCGCCACCGTCGACTCACCGGAGACGGCAGCGCACAGCACCGGCGAGGAGTGACCGCCCGTCCACACGCGGGACATCCTGACCTACACACACACAAGAGTCAGAGCTCAGCTGACAATCAATCATATACAAATACTCATCACTGTGATCTGTACAACAGAGTTGGTTGGTCATCATTATCAATACGCAGATGTAAACATTGGTACTTGTTTGTTCACTTATAAATCAATTTGGGGTCTATTGGGTGGTGTTGAAACTGCTAGTGTTGCGGAGCGGGCGTGTTACGGATACGTGGTGTAAATTTTTTAGCAATCAAAAAGCATGTCTAATTAATTGAAATAGTGTATTATGAATCATTAAACGTATACAACATTTAAAAAAAAAAAAAATGAAAAAAAAAAATTCACACTAATTCTGTGTTGTGTTTTTTCTGGTAATAAAATGAAGACATAAAACACAAATTTTATCATTTATCATAAATTTTAATCATATGAAATTAAATAAACTTTTTGTCAAATAACGTGCTGCACAATGAGCTTTACTGTTAAAATTAAAACATGGATTATTCCTTAAACTAAATTTTGATGATAATTTATTTGGATTAGTGTTAGTGTATTATTACATTGGGACATATCTAAATTCTACTGTACAACAGTAATATATTTCTGTCAAGTTAAACCGAACTTTTATTTTGACGGGTTGCCGTGAAGACCTTTTTGGTTTCTGTGTGTTTATGTCATGATGATAGTTTTTCTCAAATGAAGTGGTTAAATGACCACGAAGTGACTTTAGGAGTGGATCTAGAGCCTGGAGAGGAAGTTCACGCATTTGTGTCTTCATATATAGGCAAAAATACAGCGCAAGCGTCACACGTGCTTCCGTGTGTGTGTGTGTGGTAAATGAAACTGCGCGTCGGCTGCACCCTTCATTCACATAGAACATGCAGGATTCGTATTTAAATTGTCTTTGTGGTTTAATAACCACACACACATTTTACATCGCAATTTGATTTCAAGTGTACTGAACTGCTTTCTATTTATTCCACAAAAAATACAAAAATTCCATGAAATTCCGCGTTATACAGTAAATTCCGTTTTTATGACTGGATTTCGTCAGCATTTTAGGGCGGAGGCCGGGTGTCGCAAAACAATGGTAGGGGAAACACTGACCTCCATATATTTGCTCTTACCCGACACAAACCTGTAGGAGTTTATTCTTTGCGCTCACAGGATTTTTCGGTTTGAGCCGTCAATCTGATTAGTAACGGATTATTTGGTTAAGTTAATAGTTTTACCCCCTAAAACTCATCTTTGATCACCAAAATTACATTTAAAAAATGTCTTCATGCCTTAATAGGCCTATATCTTGAATGTAACTCCACGTCGTTGCCTCGTTTAGTATGCGTGGTTCTATGAATATGCAAATGAGCCCCGCCTCCACTCACTCCCTCAGCTCAGAGATCCACTGGTTGACGATCACACGTTGATCTGATTGGTTACAAGGTCGTTTGTGACGTCAGAAACACCAGCGATTTCAAACCGTGTTTTTGAGACTGTCTTTGGTTCACGGCAGTTTTAAGGAGGAAATACTCAGCAATGCTGTCGACTTATGAACTTACACATGGCTTGTCTTAAAGAAACACCATATTGAAAACACCACATAAACAACATTAAAAGCTGGATTTTCACCACAGGGGGGCTTTAAAACAGACAATGAAATGGTATACAGTAATTGATTTGTTGACTCGTGGAGAACAGCAGTGTGTTGAGGCTGACAGGACGCTAACATTAGTACCTCAAATGTTTACGGTCACGATCGTTACCATCTAAGTTGCCTTAGTTTATATCCAGCTTGTTACTTTTATGCGTTCGATAAGCAGCGAAGTTGCATTTTTAAAGCTAGAGACGCGAGAAAGAAAACTGTATTGTTGTGCAGCCGACAGAAACATATAAACAAATCAGAAACGCATTCAATTTCAGTTCTTTTTTTATCGTTACTATAATACTGTGATTAGATAATCAAGTGATCTGAAATGGAAGCAAACAAAGTGTAAGAATATACACGTGACTGTCACTTTTTACAAATACATTTTTACATTTAAATGTTGTTTCTCTAGCACTACATGCTAACATGAATGATAAGGTATAATAAATATATTAATACTTATACAGTTACTCGCCGATGATTTCAGCGAGAAGAACTCAATGACAACAATCGTTCATCAACACAAGACTCGCACTGAAACGAAGATTGTCTGTAGGGAGTTTATGCTTGCAAACGACTCTGCTTTTGAACAAATCTTTAACGTGATAGACTCATTCTTCATTTTGCCAGGACAGAAGTCAGAGGAACCTCGACATCATGACGGATTCTGCATGTTAAAGAGACACGAGTTCAACAGTGTTCAGTATTAACGTTACCTACAGGGTTACTCACTCTAGAGATGCTTTGCACCTTGACAAAGTAGCTGTCAAACAAACTAAACCCGAAACCCTAATGAGAAACACGAAAAGCTGTGATTTAAATAAGGCATGAGGATGAGTGCACGAGTTCTGTCTTCATCAGGAACTATAAACGCGTTCATCCCCTTAACTTAACGTTACAGAAGTCAAACATGCATTCTGTCAAATTCAACAGACATTGCTCTTATATTCCTGTGAATCGTCAATAGATTATTTTCTTTTGCTCCATACAAACATCGATTATTAATCTTCACAGACCTGTTATGAATTGCAGTCGATCCTGAGCAAATTTCTTTTACTGTCTATGCAATTTTCAGGTGCGCGTACGTTATGTCCAGGTTATGTCCGTCACGTGTCGCCTGCTGATGACGTCGCGAGGGCGTATGTCACGTGTCGCCTGCTGATGACGTTGCATGTCATTCGCCTCCGCCTCGTAACATTTGATATTGTTCAAATGACCGTTTTGGAAATATTAATTGGAGATTGATTTGGACTTATAATAACAAATACAGTATCGATAATAAAGTTTGTGAAATATACTTTACAACTATACATAAAACTTAACCAACACACCAGTTTCTAAAAATATATAAAAATGACCTTTCTGAATTCTGTGTATTTTGTAAAAAGGATACTGAAACTATTTTACATCTTTTCTTTGAATGTATGTATGTTCAATTATTTTGGATTGATGTGGAATATTTATTTAATATGTTAAGTGGAATTAAAATTCACATAGAGAAAATAGATGTTTTTTCTATTATGACAAAAAAGATAGACAAGAGTCACGTTTTTATGTTAAATCTTATTATATTACTTGGTAAGTTTGATATAATCAAATGTAAATGGTCTGAAAGGAAACCCAACATCACCATTTTAAGGGCTGACATGAAGATTTACTTTGAAACTGTGCAAGGACTTTCAAACGCGAAGCAACCAGAACTATGGACATCTACAAAGATTTAAATTCCTCTTCTTTATTTTGATTATACACGTATACCTCTTTCTGTTATGTCATCTTTTAATTTTTCTTCTTTTTTCTTAATGTGTGAATCGATTGTTCTTTAATATCTTTGATATGAATGTTAATGTTCTTCATATCTTGCTTTGGAATAATTAAGAGCATTATGAAACATTTGTATTGTATTATTACATGTATAATTTGGGGGAAAAAATTATATTGTTCATATTAAAGATGCAATAATATATATTTTTTTAGATGTTTGATTCATTGCCCTGCAACGTTCCGTATAAAATACTATTGATATAATCATTTTGAGAATATTAATTGGACATTAACAAATACTGTGTTAACAACAAAGTTATGAAATATATTTTCTATATATTCTGTGTATCACTAGATAAAACATGCCAATGGTTATTCACTATTGATTTAATCTCACCCGAAAGGGGAGAAAATGTCGTAGATAAGACAACTCGATTATCTGAAATTGTTTTTTTTTTCTGATAAAGTGATTCTCGTTCAATGCCACGTACCCTATCCAAACTTGAGTCCAGATTTATATTATCGTAACCTTTAGAAAGGAAATGGTCATATACTATTTTCACCTGGTTTTCGAATTCTTCATCAGTAGGCCTATACTACAAATCCACTTCCTTACGCAAAAACTGACTATAAGATTAGGCTTTTTTCATAGATGAAGGATGGTAACTTCTAGAATGTAGAAAATTATTCTTATGTGTGGATTTACGAAATACTGTCGTCTGTAGCGCCTGTCCAGTAGATCTCAAAATCTTAACATATAGAAGACATACTGTATCCCAAGGAAAATCGTATGGAGTCAAGTCTGGAATTTAAAATCGGAATCGGATGTTTTATGATACACAGATCGGCCAGTCTCCACTTTTTACCTATAATTTGAGAGATATGCTGGTTTATCTTACACTCCGCCTATCAATTTTCTTACAGCGCTTGATCCGGGCAATATCCCTTGTAGGAGTTGCGTGAATTATAATGCTATGATTAGGCTTTCCACATCCACGGACTGGCAAGATATTCTCTGTGAGAGGGAGAATTACTTGCCGTACGTCCTTTGTTGTGTACTTACTTAAATGCCCATGTGGGCTTTGTTATGTTGGTAAAACAAAAAGAGAGTTAAGAATACGATTACACGAACACAAAAGTAACATACATAATCACAACATTAAGTCACCAGTGGCTAGACATGTTAATGAATTTGGGCATGATATTTGTACTTTGAAATGTCAAGGCATCGAGTTAGTTAAACCTCTTCAACGGGGTGGAGATAGGGAGCGCTATCTCCTTCAACGAGAGGCTTTCTGGATTTATACGCTTCAAACAGTATACCCCAATGGTTTAAATGAAGAATTAGCTTTAAAGTGTTTCTTGAAAAGTCTATTTTTATTTCTTGGTAATTGTTTATAAGGGTCACATGTGAGCATTATCTATGGCCTGTTCTGTTGTGTTATTCCTTGTGTGTTTCTACAATGTTGGTAACCTGATGCACCTGACGGTGATTTGAGGACGTTCATGGGGTTCACCTGTGATGTTTAAAAGCAATCCCTTTGGTGTTTCACACCCCACACTGATGATGGCTTGGGCTGAAACGTGTCTTTGTGGACATGGTATTAATAAATATATGAGATATAACTAGAGAGTGGGTTCCAGCACACGTGGGAATTCAAGGTAATGAGGAAGCAGACAAAATAGCCAAAGAATCATTAAAAATGAAAGACCCAAATATAAACATGTCACTTAGTAGAGCAGAAGGAAAACATTTTATTTTAGAAACGTGCAATAAGAAATGGCAGACAGTTTGGGGCTCGTGTCATACAGGTCGGCATTATTACAAAGTCCAAAAAAAACATAAAGAGAGGCAATATAATTCACAACTTAAGTAGAAGAGAACAAGTTATTTTCACACATTTAAGAACAGGACATTCGAATCTAAATCATACTTTACACATTATAGGGAGGCATAACACAGGTTTATGTTTAGTATGTTTAATAGAGGAGACAGTATAACATGTATTGAAGAAATGTAAGGCTTATAATAAAGAAAGGAGGATTCTTAAGGGAGAATTGCAAGCTGTAGGATGCCAGGAATATAACCAACTTATTAAATGATGGTCCAAAATCAGGAAAACAAATAAATACAATCATGAGATTTATTAAGAATAGTGGGTTATATAATAGGATATAGGAGTATTTAGTTCATTCTTTTCACACTCCATCACAATAGGTGGCGGTATGCACCTTTAAAGTTGGTTCGCAACCTGCCATAAAACCAAAAGAAGAAGAAGAACTAGAGAGTGCGGTTTTCCATCTTTATTTGATAACTTCTTTATAACTCGCACCTATAAACGGTTTGGGAGTTGAGGGCGCCTGTTCTCAGCAATATATGTGTTAGGGGCATATATTATTACATTATATCAGGTTAGATTAGTTATAGTATATTGTTATTATTAATTATAGTAGCTATATTATAGTATTGTTATATTAATTAAGATTATTTGAATTGCTTCAGATTTGGACTGGACTGCTGGTTGATTTGGATTGTGTGTTTGGATGTGTTTGCTTTGTGACCTCTTGCTTTCTGCTGGTAATGGAGCCAGCAAGACGGAGGAAGTCCTCTCCTGCCCGGGAGTATTTTGAAATGGTTGCTCACAATAAGGTATGTGTATAAACTGATATAATAATAATCATCCTCACTATATGGCTGTATAATATTCCATGTTTCAATGTGAAATGCTTGCTGTGCCTGAAGGAGCGGACATACAGCAATAACACCTCCAAAAGAAATGGTGAATGAGGCCCAGGTGAACATGGTCATCAAGGACTCCCAACCCTTGTCCATTGTGGATGATGATGGGTTTCGGGAGCTCCTGCATGTGTTGGATCCCACTTATGTTGTCCCAACTCGAAAGGTATGTGATTTAATTAAGTGGTTCATCATTATTTAACAAGTTGAAAGTAAGAGTAACTGCATTTATTATTATCTGAAGGTCATGGTTGATAATGGAGAAGGCCAGAGAGCAGTTGCAGAAAGGTACAGCTATAAGCCTAACCTCTGACATGTGGACATATCCCTAAACGTGGAGCTACATGTGCTACTGTAATCAGAGGTTCTGGTCTCCATTCTGCTTCCAGTATCACAGCCCCAGCTCAGCTGCCAGCCTCTTCAGAAGCAGCTCAATCCTCAGACCACAGTAAGTAGGACGTTTCTTTATTGTGTGAATTTTCACATTAGTGAGTAGTACTATTAGGTGACCTTTGGCATCTGCTGGATAGCACGATTGATCACAGTAGAATGAGTTAGAAGAAGTGGAACTACTGTAGAAGTGGACCGCTTTTTATCAGAAGTGATGAATACTTGTCCGCTACTTCTTTGCACAGTAGCTACTGTAGGTGTCACTAGTGAGCAATGCTGAATGAAGCTTCGAGTAATGAACCTTTGGGTGAAGCAATGGGCTGCGAGGTCTCAGTGCTTCAGGAAGCCTCATTTAGCCATCACCAGCCTCGGTTTCCCATCACTATGCTGGCAGTTCAATTGAGATGATGACTATTGCAGGTAGATTTCCCCAGAACAGACAGGGAAACACCAGGGGAAGACACAAGGAATAACCTGAGAACAGGTCAGAGAGTCTTTCCTTGTTCAAGGCCAGACGAACGCTTAGGGGTGTGCTTTCATGTGGAGCTGATGAGGTGAGGGAATGGTGGCAGGTGCGCGTGATGGAGTGTGTGCAGGAGGGAGCCAAGAGGATTCTGGGAAACGTAGTGACTGGAGATCGCGACAGTGGGAAATATATTGTGATAACGTTTTTTTTCTTTCAGAAGGGTGGTTAGGGTTGACCAGCAAACAGCATAATATTAATCACAAACTATTCACCATAATATTATTCATATAGTATTAATTATAATAATAGTAGCATATATGGAATCCACAACAATTAAAAACAAAGCATGCAAAAATGTTTCGCATTTATTATTCAACTCATAGCTAATAACAAGTAGAGATATACATTTTCAATATATTTTGATCACTGAACTGGTTTCCATTTCAGAAATCTGGTCACCTTAGAGTGAACATAACCGAATTAAGCAGAAACTGTATTTAATCTCATCTGGACTACTGCATTTCACTTTATTTCGGCCTTAATCGCTCCGTCCAAGAACCAGAGCGCTAGAGCGTTTCAGGCGGCCGGTCCCAATCCTTCAAACACATTAGATTAGCACCCAAAGCTTAAAAAATTATTTATTCTTTATGCCTTTTCAATAAATTAATTTTTTGGTCAGGTTATTTTATGGTTTAAATGCGCAGTATTATGTGATGCAATGTGAAGTGTTTTATTATTTATTATCATGTTTGTAATTAGTTTCATTGCATTATTGTTAAGCACATTTGAACAGTTTTGTGATTATATAGTGCTATATAAATGAAGTGGCAATGTCAATGTGTCCCTAGCCAACCAGCCCGTTTAACAAAACACCCCAGGCTGAATAGATGTACAGATGTAGTCTTGGATTGGTTTTTATTTTTTGACAAGTCAAGCCCACTTCTAGGTCAATGCACAAACAGCGAACATGGCAGTGAATGGATCCCCATCTGATAGTCTGTGCTATATAATGCTCTTGTCACAGACTAACACGTGCACTTTCTCACACTTTCTCTCGATCTCACACATCCGCGCATCTAACACTCATCTCACGACGCTGCCTGTTCGCTGTAAGTACCCTTTTTGTGCTCCAGTGTTTAGTCATTTCTTTTAGCTAAATAATTTGCTACGTTCTTTTTAATATTTTTTTAAATTAAAACATGTTTAACACAATTACCCAAAAGCAAAGACTGTGAAACCACACCAGAAAGTGGATTTTGTAGACATGGGTGTTGTTTTGTTGTTGTGAGACAGACTTTAGAGTGATTATTGAAATAATCACAGCAATATTAAGAATTATCACAGCAAGTGAACAACTTGTTTTTGTGTATTTCATACTAACTATGGTTGTGATGAACACACTATTGTGAAGAAAGAACCGTTACAAAGCTTGGCAGGCTTTGCTATTCAGCTGCGAGTCGAGTTAAAAGCCAGAATAAGCCTTTTGTAAAAATGCTGACGTGAACTGCGCTCTCTGTCCAACTGTCTTTCTTTTAACACAATAGTCCTCACTGACTGTCACACTTTCTGGATGTTTTTTGTGTGTGTCTCAGCACTATTTTTATCACCAAGAACTTCAGTAGCGGTACTTCCTTGAAAGTTGGAAGACTTTAGGAAGGCTTTTCTTTGTTTAAAAATGACTTCACGAGTTCATTAGTGAAACACGGCAGGAGATATTCAGCAGAATGTCCTTGCTGCTCTTTTCCGCGTTATGAAAATCAGACGGCAAGCAGGAGCGGTCAAGCACAAAAAAGCAAGTTTAAGCCACCATGCAGTGAACATCATCTCTTCCGCCACTGTGGCTTATGCATATTCATGATGTGATTATTCATGACTCGTGTGGAAAAATATCAAACCAGCTGCTATACAGTGGAGGGAAAACATTTATAGGGTTCACTATTGCAAATGTTGCATTCGAGTTTGAATTGGTAAATGAAAAAGGTTACTGACTTGAACAATTTATTTTTTAGTAAAGTGAGGCTATGGGGTCTCAGTACTTCCCAGCACGATCCACACTCTTCCAGAAGGAGCCGAGTGGAGTCACGTACCGTGTGCCGGCTTTGGTCTACGTTCCTCGATCCAGCTGTTTCTTGGCCTTCTGTGAGGAGAGACTGACTCCGGCTGACGCTCAAGCACATCTGCTGGTCATGCGCAAAGGCACCTTTTACAAAAACTATGTGGAAGTAAGCTGGTTTTAACATATATCAACAATATTATAACTATTAACCCCCCTGTGCTCTTCACGTGTTGGTAAAAAATGGCCGAATGTTTTATTTTTGTTGTGAATGCTATATTTTAGTTTGATAATGTTTTTTATACTAAATTATATTTACGCTTGTCAAGTTGTCTAGGTGTTATAAATAGTTCAGCTCTGCCCAAACAGGCTTGCTCAACACATGAAGGATGCAAAGTGACAACTCAATACCTTTTTAATGCTTTATTTTTCTTCCAGATGGTTTTGATGCCATTAGTTGAATATGTTGAAACAGTTGAATTGTTGAATAGAGTAGCTGAAATGAATTGAATGACATATGATTAGGGACTATGGAATGGGGAATGTTTTGATAACCTTAAAACAAAAAATAAAAATGCATTACTTTACACAATAAACAATGCATGACACAGCAAAAAAGCATGGCTTTGATTAAAGTAAACGTTTAAAGGAAAAGCTGCCATTGTGCTCATGTTTTGTGTGTTCTGTTCTTTGACGCAACAACGCTGTATTTATAATCCATTTATTCACTTTTTGAGCATAGACCTGAACATTTAATTTCCAACTTAAACTGTGGTAAATCTTGAATGCTTTAGAGCACAGACTGAAGTTTGATCTCTTTTCAAAGACGACACTTGGCAGATTATTGCTGAAGTGAAAAAAGTTTTAAAAAGTGAACTTAAAGTAACAGAATTTTACATGTATTGTTATGAAAAATGCACAAAATACTATTAATACTAAATCACATTTACTCTTAACCTGCAAGAAAGCCATAAATCTAAATAAGTTGAAAGTTAAAAAATGAGCTTTCAAGTAAGATTTTGTTTGGCTGCAGCATCAGTCGCTTCCACTAGATGAAATTCATCTCCCATTCATTTCCAATGCGCTCATTATTGACCGCACAAGTCAAGTCATCTTCATTTATATAGCGCTTTTAACAATGTAGATTGTTTCAAAGCAGCTTTACAGAGATAAACTTAATATAATTTAAGGTAACAGAGATTGTTTGGTTTTATAGCGGTTCTTGAATAATGTTATTTTCCAGCTAAAGTAAGTTTTGATAGATTCATTTCCGTTGAAATGATCATTTGTTATTAAATTAGGGGCCGCTAAGACGACACCGTTCTCTCTAAACAGACTTTAAACGTGAACCTGTGATAAACGCTGATGGCGTTCACATGCGCATTAAGAATTGATTCTATAGTTATGTGCGTTTGAATATATGTGCGCAGGTTTGTAATTCCCTACAAACCATGCCTAAACAAACTACTTTTCTTGCCTATAAATTTTATACAGAATTTTATTTTATTTTATCACTTCGGGGTTGGTACGTGAACCCTAATTTCCACAACGCTTTATCTGTAGAGTGGAATAGGGATCCTCCATAGGGAGAGGCTAGTTGGCACTTCAGCACTGCGTTGTCATCGGGTCCAGGCGAATCTCCTTCGTCAGATCTGGAAACGGCCTGGATCCGGCAGGCTGCGGGAAAACCTTGGGATAAACAAAGACACTAAAGTTAGCGTAGATGCCATTCTTCTTATGATGTAACGAGTACATCAGGATTTAAGGGAAGTGTTCCCAGTTCCGGCTGACCTAATCTATGCAGCCTAATATTGAATATAATGTATTATGTGAATGCTAGGTGTTTTTAGTCTAGCTTTGAACTGACAGAATGTGTCTGCTTCCCCGACAATGGTAGGAAGACTATTCCAAAGTTTTGGTGCTAAATAGGAAAAGGATCTCCCGCCTGCAGTCGATTTTGATATTCTAGCTCGCTCAAGTACTTTGGAGCTAAACCATTTAGTGCTTTGTAAGTAATCAGCAATATTTTGAAATTAATACGATGTTTAATAGGCAGCCAATGCAGTGTTGACAGAACCGGGCTAATATGGTCATATTTCCTGGTTCTGGTAAGAACTCGAGCTGCTGCGTTTTGGACCAGCTGGAGTTTGTTTATTAAGCGTGCAGGGCAACCACCCAGTAGAGCATTACAATAATCTAGCCTTGAGGTCATGAACGCATGAACTAATTGTTCCGCATTTGTCAATGAGAGCATTATTATGGCGTAATTTAGATATATGTTTAAGATGGAAAAATGCGGTTTTACAGATACTAGACATGTGACTTTCAAATGAAAGATTGGTATCAAAGAGCACACCCAGGTTCCTAACCGACAACGAAGACTTAACAGAGCAGCCATTAAGTGTTAGACAGTATTCTGGGTTATTACGTGTGGAAGTTTTTTGTCCAATAATTAGAATCTCTGTCTTTTCAGAATTTAGTAGTAGGAAATTACTAGTCATCCAATTTTTTATATCAGCTATGCATTCTGTTAATTTTGTGAATTGGTAAGTTTCGTTAGGTTTTGAAGAAATATACAGCTGAGTATCATCGGCATAACAGTGAAAGCTAATTTCATGTTTCAAATGGTAGCATGTACAGAGAACAGCAACAGTCCTAGTACTGAGCCTTGTGGTACACCATACTGAACTTGTGATCGATAAGACATCTCTTCATTTACTGCTACAAACTGACAACGGTCAGATAATTATGATTTAAACCATGCTAGTGCAATTCCACTAATGCCAACATAGTTTTCTAGTCTATTTAAAAAAAAATGTTGTGGTCAATGGTGTCAAATGCAGCACTAAGATCAAGTAACACTAATAGAGAGATACAACCGCGATCGGATGATAAGAGCAAGTCATTTGTGACTCTAATGAGAGCAGTCTCAGTGCTATGGTACGGTTTAAATCCGGACTGAAAATCCTCGCTGATATCATTTCTTTCAAGAAAGGAACACAGTTGTGAGGATACTGCTTTTTCTAATATCTTTGACAGAAAAGGTAGATTCCAGATTTGCCTGTAATTGACTAATTTTGTATGATCAAGTTGCGGTTTTTTAACAAGCGGTTTAATCATAGCCAGCTTAAAGGTTTTTGGTATGTATCCTAGAGACAAAGATGAATTAATGATAGTAAGAAGAGGATCTATGACCTCTGGAAGCATCTCTTTCAGTAGCTTAGTTGGTATAGGGTCTAACATACAAGTTGTCGATTTTAGATGATTTAACGAGTTTGCAAAATTCTTCCTCTCCTATAGCAACAAACACGACCGGCCCGAGGCATAAGCGAACTAAGCGGCTGCTTGGGGCCCCTTGGCCACCAGGGGGCCCCCCAATCGAGTCGAAAAATCGAAAAATATTTTTTTTAGATGACTTAAACAAGTGACATAAATGAATGAATTAATATGAATGAATGAATAATTAAAGACAAGAAAATTAAGATTTCATGATCAATATACCTCCCTACAACTGCTGCTGTCTGCCAGCATTTAAGTCATGCGCATAATCTAGACACCTCGCGCGTGCATAGACAATTCGTGCGCAACTGCGCATAGTAGCGGACTCGCGGTAATGTTAAGCCAAGTCACAAAAAAGTTTCCCTCTGGTGCCGAAAATAGAACGAAGAAAATGACAGAGGAGGAGAAAAAAAGAGCAAGATAAAAGTATGTTTGCATGATTATTTACGGTATGTTTTGAGCAGCATTGAACCATTCCTATCTACGGCAAGCCCAGAGGGGAAAAATACATTGCATACACACACAGATACAACGAGCGCCAGTACATCATTACCGGTGTTATAGTAACAGACTTTGTTGGATTCTGTCATGTACAATCCAACAAAGTCTGTTACAATAATAATAAGAAAAAGATTTTGTGGACAGTTACACTGTATTGAGACAGTTGAGAAATAATAATATTTTTGACAGTTTTCAACAATAATTGTCATTGTTGAACCCTTGCTCTTATTATGTTTTTAATTTCTCAGTTGTCATTTTTTTTAGCAAATCATTTATTTTTGATATGTTTTGAGACAGTTTTAAGAAGTTTTAAAGAGTTAGTAAAAGAGTAAAGTAAAAGTAAAAAAATATATTTAAGTAGGCTATCTATTTTTTTATGAAGTGTTTATTTTGTATTTATACATAACCTCATTGTATTAATTTATAATGTATCATTATTGCGTGATATTTGTGTCAATAATCGTCAAGCACATGTGACTCCACGTAGTGGGAGGGGCCCCCAAATCAAATTCTGCTTAGGGCCCCCAAAAGGCTCGGGCCGGCTCTGGCAACAAACGAATAAAATTTTTCCTCCGGGAGACTACAATGCACTCCCTGATGCGATACTGTTGTAGACGGTTGCATAGTTATAATTTTGTCTCTGATATTATCGATCTTATAAGTGAAGAAGTTCATAAAGTCATTACTGCTGTGTTGCTTAGAAACTTCTGGGCTAGAAGCTTTATTTTTCGTTAGTTTAGCCACTTGTTCAAATAAATACCTAGGATTATGTTTATTTTCTTCTAATAGGGTTGAAAAATAAGCAGATCTTTTAAAGCCTCTCTGTAAGCAATCGAGCTCTCCTTCCATGAAATCCGAAATACCTCTAGTTTAGTTTTCTTCCAGTTGCGCTCCATTTTTCTGGCTGCTCTCTTAAGGGCCTGGGTGTGCTCGTTGTACCACGGCGTTGGACTATTTTCTTTAATCTTCTTTAAGCGCAACGGAGCAACTGCGTCTAAAGTGCTAGAAAAGAGAGAGTTAAAAGTTTCTGTTGCAATATCAAGTTCTTCTAAACCAGTGGTTCTCAAACCTGTCCTGGAGGACCCCCAACACTGCACGTTTTCTTTGTCTCCCTAATCAAACACACCTGATTCAACTCATCAGCTCATTTTAATGAGCTGATGAGCCAGCACTTTTAGCCAGCACTTTTAAATTTGATTTGATGTCAGGCTCTCTGGGTCCCGGCAAACATGTGACTATGGTGGCTGGTATCACTATTTTCACGTTCCTTGTGATCGAATCACCAATTACCAGGGCACAATCAACCGATCTCTCAGTGGGTGTTTCACTGAGCGGGGCAAATCGATTTGTTATGGTAATCAGAACGGACGAGTGGTTTTTTGATCCGCGACAAGAGCGATCCCTAACTGTTACCCATTTGCCTTGCTGCACAGGCAATAATTCAGCCGGAACCGAATCATGTAAAGAGTTCACTATGCTAGGCGCATCCAAAAAAGTATCTAAAACTGCAGCACAATTACTATCCTCAATTAAAGTTTGGATGCGTGTCTCTAGTTTTGAAATCTCCGTCAGACTGTCTCCTTGCACGGGTGGTGCGTTAACAGGCTAGCGAGTTACTAGCGTGTTGTGCTAACAATAACGGAAGCTAGCGATGTCAGGTTAATCTGAGATGTTTGGTACGCTGTATTTAGTAGTATATAAACAACAAAAAATTATAGTAAATGATGGTTCAAAACAGAAAGAAATACGAAGCTAATACGAGGCTTAGACGGAGCTTACAGCCTCGAAGCAAACAAACTCACAGCAAACTCACAGCAGGCAGCAAGGCAGACACAAGTGTGACTATTTTTTTACAGGACCATTTAACCTGTTCAAATCATGTCCATGCTTTTTTTGTGTTCCCATAGCAAGTGCCAAAACCTTTCGTACTATTCCAATGAAGTAAAAAAAAAGTAAAATATTTCGGTCCAAACAGCACCAAAGGTTTAACCGTATAGATTATATGTTTTTTTGATAATAAAAAAAGCATCTTCTCTCTCCTCAGTGGAAAGACATGGAGGTGTTAAGTAGCGCTCGACTGGAGGGCTACCGCTCAATGAACCCTTGCCCCGTTTACGATGAGTTTACGGGCACCATCTTCTTGTTCTTCATTGCTGTTCTGGGTCACACCTCTGAGTCTTACCAGTTAATTACAGGGAAGAACGTGACCCGTCTGTGCTACGTGTCTAGCAGTGACCAAGGGGACACCTGGAGCTCCGTCACAGACCTCACCAGGACGCTCTTAGGGGACACCATTAAAGGTAAAGTCCTCTGTCCGGATACGTAAAGCCAATGTTAAAATAGTCTCTCTTAACCCAGATTAAAAGGTAAAGTTCACCCAAAAATGTAATTTCAGTCACTCTTCTGTGGAACACAACTGGAGGTTTTTCAATGAATGTCCTTGTTGGGTGAATTCAACCCAATGGCAACCCAGTTTGGTTCACATAATGTTTCACATCTTCATTTTTGGGTGAAATATTCCTTGGTGAGATTGTAAACCGTGAAATGTTGTTTGCTTGAGCAGCCCATCATGTCAACTTGTGACACATGGTGTGACTTTGTGTTTGTCTGACCAATTTAATTCCTTTTGGTGAGGCCAGTGGATGTAACTATAGACTGCAGTCTTAAGCCCAATTCTCACCGCACCTACAGACACAGTCTAGAGTTGGGTATCGTTTGAATTTTAACCGATTACGATTCTACTTATCGATTACGATTCTTATCGATTTCCTAATATCGATTCCAATAAGATAAAAATAAACCTTAGATATCATTCACATTTATTTTAAGTCTTATTGTAAAACATTTCAGTGTGGCTGAATACCATGAACAAATATCAACAGGCTAAAGAAAACTTACACAAGGAACTTTTGCCTATGGTTAAAAAAATACCATAGAAATAACTATCCTATCTAATTTAAATTTCAAGCATTATTAAAGACTCAGTAATTACAAAACAAAAAATGATCAATCGCAGCAAATAAATACAACTGAACAAATATATGTTTGAAATAAACAGTTTTAAGATATTTAGGTACACAAACTAATCAAAGGTAAAATAACACTGCACTTTAAAAATAAAATATAAATTACAAATATAGTTACAAAAGTTATTCAGTCAAGAACAGCGAGTGAATTTTCTTGGTCTTTTGTTTGATTACTGTTATATACCGTTACTCGTGGGCAGCGTCTTACGCTTGAATGGTTTAAAATGCACACAAAGGAATCGATAAGAGGAATCGAAATATAATTTTTTTTAACAAGTATCCGATTCCGGACCTCAAGTATTTTCGATTCCCAACCCTAACACAGACCAACGGATTACACCACATCACTGCTCAGACATCCTAACGCAGATTCAGCATGTTCAATCGGCGACAACAAGCTCCAACAAAACCCAACGAAGTGTCTGTCGGTACGGTGTGAAATGGCCTTTAATTTCCACATGTACACTGCTTTGTTTGATATTTTGCACAAACATGTTTTTAAAATAATTAAGAAACCCTTGTGTGTGTTTTATTGCTGGCAGAGTGGGCCACTTTTGCTGTGGGTCCAGGTCACGGCACACAATTAAAATCTGGAAGGCTGATAATCCCAGCCTATGCCTACCATATCGACTGCAGAAATTGCTTCGGACGGAAGTGCAAGACTTCGTCACACTCGTTTTGTTTTTATAGTGACACGCATGGAAATGTGTGGCATTTTGGAGAGGCGCTGTCCGCGCCAGAGAGCGTGGAGTGTCAGATGGTGTCGGTAGATGAGGAAGACGGACTCAACATTTTGTACTGCAATGCCCGGAGTGTATCAGGGTCTCGGGTGCAGGCCGTTAGTTTTGATAATGGAGCCGTTTTTCGCAACGGCCAGCTGGTGCAGAAACTAGTGGAGCAGAACAATGGGTGTCATGGCAGTGTGATTGGATTTCCAGCCCCAGTCTACCAGCTCGGGCAATCCCAACACTGTGTGAGACAGTTGAGGTCCATCTACAGCCCACCAGCTCTCAGCATATCCCCGGCTCTGAGCACTTCACAGAACTTCCTCCCGCCAACATGGGTGGTTTATTCTCACCCCACACACCCGAACGCCCGCCGAGACCTGGGAGTCTACCTCAGTCTTCTGCCACGAGACCCAGACAGCTGGTCAGGACCGTGGATCATATACGATGGCCCTAGTGCATACTCAGACTTGGCTTATGTTGAGCTGATGTCTGGTGATGCCCCGGCGGTTGCCGTCTTTGCCTGCCTGTTTGAGAGCGGCACATGGACGGCTTATGATGAGATTTCCTTCTGCATCTTCACACTGTATGAGCTAATCGACCACCTTCCACACAACGACCAACAAAGAAGAGGGTTTAAGAAGAGGGACAGGATCTGGGAGCGCTGCTTTGTCTGCTGATTCCATGCGTGTAACAGTAAAATCCTGAAGAATTGAAAAGATGGCTCCCTTTCAAATTATGGGTGTGAATTTGAATCTATCTATCTATCTATCCTATCTATTCTATCTATGATAGGGGGCGCTGTTACGGATCTTCTAGCAGTGATGGAAGCATTGCTTATGCACATTCATTGTAGTCTTTGAAAAAAAAATCAGCTTTTTCTTTTTTTAATTAAACTTACCCACATTCAAGTGTTGATAAAAAAAACATGAGGGTGAGTAAGTGATGACAGACCTGTCATATTTGGGTGGGCTATCTCTTTAATGTTTAAATTTTATAGCATACTATCACTGCAAGATGTACTTAGGGCTGTCGCGAATGCAAGTAACCGCAGCAACCGCGAACCACGTTTTTTTTCTTTTTTCATAAGGCCACCCTTCGTACTTCGTACCATGTGTATTGAATGTTAAATAAGTTAATAATGATAACAAGACTATTTATCATGGTGATTTGTACAGAGGCTTCGTGGATTTGGACTTAAGCCTAAACAGACAGTGAATGTATCGACTGAGCGTGTGCGATTACCTGCGTCTGTCTTTGAAGTCAAGTCATGTATATTCGTGAAAAGGTTGCCGTTTCCAAGGAAAGCGAAATATTTGTCGTATCACCCTTTTAACGTGTAAGGGTATTTACCATGAATGGCGTCAGCGCTGGTCAGCATTACACAGCGCGAAGAAGCCGTGGGGGGAAAGCAGCGAGTCACGCATTGAATCAATGCCATTGGTCTCTATTAAGTGAAGCTTCAGCTTTGCCCAAAAATGAAGCATTGCTGGCCAGCTGAGCCTTGAAAAGTGGAGCCCAAAGTAAAAAATAATAATTAACGCCTTGTTTCATTACATCTATCATTTATATAAGCTAGTTTTCTAATCAGCTTTTTTGAATGTTTTCGTTGAATGAACGGTTTAATGACTCACATATTCCACCAAGGCAGAGCTGGTGCTGGTTCGGAGCCAGAGCCTAGTTTCAAATCGGTTCTTTGTTTTTCGACCACCAAAGCACCAGCTCCGAACCAGTAAAAGTGGTTCTTAAGTGGCACCAAATCATTGCTGGTCTAGAAGTAAGAACGTCAGCGGCTGGGGGCGGGGTTACCGTGACCAACAAGACGAACAGAAACTTGTGACCGCCATTTTTTAAATAGCAGCTAATCGAGCTAATAGCAGCTCGATTGTAATCTCCGTTTATGAAAGTTACGGTAAGCTGCACGAACGCGTTGTATTCGCCGTGTTTGGATGCCGATGTAAGTTAGGTTTGCAAAGCCATGAGCATCAATAGTAACGTTAACGCAACGACTGCCATTGCTGATAGAAGGCTTGTTCGAGATGCATCGGAGCGGCGCGGACCGATCAGAGCTGCGGGAGTGTGTGGAGAGCATACGACTTCTTGTGCTTTTCGATCGCTTTTGCAGTGCTTTGATGTCATGCGCTAATCGGTCTGCGAGAAGCCAATGCATCTTGAACAAGTCTAGTGTGTTTGTGTTTGGCGCTGCCGCGCTAGCGTTGCTGGGCAACATGAGATGTATACAGTGACGTAAGACCTGGCTCTGTGGTGGCTCTCTGGCCTGTGGAAAGGCAAACCGGTTCTTAGAAAGCTCGTCAGTCGAACTAACTCCCAACCGGCAATAGTACTAGCTCTGAACTAGCACCTGGTTCTTGCTGGTGGAAAAGGGGTATCAAAGACAGTCCGTTGGCGTAACAATGTAACTGCGCGCTGAGTGACGCTGTTTAGTTTCGGTTACATTGTTTTTGTGTTTGCTGACCACATCATAACACGTATTTATATAGCAACAAATAAATATAAATAAATATAAATAAATAAATGGCGGTAATACCGCATATCGCGCTATTGAGCCACTCAAAATAACCGCAAGGGAAATTCCATCACCGCGACAGCCCTAGATGTACTTGCCTCTGAATGAACTCCAAAGTAGTGGCTGCTTCCACTTGGTACTCAATTGTAAAGCATATAATAACAGACGAAGAGAACAGCAAATGCAGATAATTAGACATATCTGGTAGGTCAGTCTTAGGAAAGAGGACTATGCCTTCAATTGCCAGCATCCATTTTTTGCTGTGTAGAACTGAATCCCCTAAAAAAACACACCTGATTCAACTCATCAACTCATTAACCCATGTGATAATAAGCTGATGAGTTGAATCAGGTGTGTTTGATTCTGGAGACAAAGAAAACGTGCAGTCAGAGAAAGTCTAATATGGGGAGAACTCCCACTCACATTAAACTTCTGGGTTCTGAACTGTTGCAGTTCCACTCTGGGTCCATATGAGGGCGCTCACAGGCGGAGTGCAGAATGAATGGAGGTCTATGGAGCAATACCCCTAAAAATCCACTTTTCTCAGGATATAATTTTTTGTCTAGTAATTCGAATGTTGTATTCGAAAGAAGATGCAAATAAAATTACACATTGCTGGGTGTTAGATTTTTTAGAGTCACTTATTTGCTTTAAAAAGTCTTATAAAATGTCAATGACGTCATACACATCGTACGACCAGAGACCTGCTTTACGGCAATCCTTCAGTCACTTTGGTGCTTACGCGCATAGACAGACGAGAGAAGCCGCGAAATTTAAAAATACTACTGTTATTGTGTCACGAAATGTAGTTTTAATAGTTTTTCAGTCGACAATGTAGTTGTTGAAAGCTCAAAAATGTGGTTTATTTATAAAGATAGCGCTTATTTAAAAATTTGATCTGACGTTTTCGGAGTTGTGATATCCAAGCCTTAAGCGTTACCGGGGTCTCAGCGCTCTGCACCCCGCCTGGAACAGCCTTTACTCGGTTAGTGCTTCTGACGTTTGTGGTTAAACATGACATATAATTCGTCTTGTGTATATCTAACGGGCGATCTTTGGTCTCATTAATCTTGTTCCCTGGCAAATCGTTTTGGCTGACGGCAAAGTGAAGTTTCATAACTTTATATTGTGGCTATTTTAATGTTGTATCCTGCTGTGTCTGAATCGTTTACTTTATTTATTGTCTTGTATAACTCTTCTTATACCTTTTAGGCTACTTATGCTGTTATAATGTCTCTTACTGATCAATAAAACTGAAAAATAGACAGGGTTGTGTCATTTTATTTTATATAGCCTATATTTTATATAGCCTTTTCATTACTATTTTATTTGCTGTACTGTTTGTTTGTTTATTTTATTGACTAAACTATTTAATATTACTTCTCACTTTATCTTATATTTACTATTTGCACTGTAACTTAGTTGTACCATATCGTATTACCATAGATAAAGGATCCATCAGTTATCTTTGTTATTGCTAAAATCGGGTCAATCACAGAAAATGCTTTTTCCACAATAAGAAAATTATCGCAGCATTGCTCCAAAGCGGCCAATAGGGCGTCTATGTATTTATTATGTCTATGCTTTTGCGTTCTGCACTTTCTTTTCTCTCGAGGCATCTACTACACAACTGACACAGGTAAATACATCTGTGGTCCCGCTTCGGATGCCACGATGCCATCAAGCGGTATCTCTGGTCGTAATCAGTCCTTCACTGACCAATCAGCGTCCATTAGCAGAATGCTAGCGTGTTATGGGCAAAAACAACTTAACCTGTAAGAAATCGAAAGGACATAAGTACTCGTTCATTTAACTTTCGACCTATAACCCATGTTGGACTTGCAAAACCTACATTCAAATCTAAGATTTCTCAATGACAATCGGGTGAAAAAGACAAATTTAGCCGTTTAGCCCCATAGACTCCCATTCATTTTGCACTCGGACTATTGCCCCCAGTGGAACTCTGGTGGAACTACAACCAAAAAGTCGGTACAATAGGACTTAATAGGGAGTGGCCAGGCTTTCCGTAGACGGGCTTTGGTGCAGTGTTGGGGGTACTCCAGGACAGGTTTGGGAACCACTGTTCTAGATCTATCTATTCATCTTCCTTTTCATTGATATGATTCTGTTGTGAATGTAGTATTTGATTGCAGCCCAGTCTCGGTCTTTCAGAGCCACTGGTAGTGATGGCTAAATGAGGCTTCCTGAACCACTGAGACCTCGCAGCCCATTGCTTCACCCAAAGGTTCATTACTCGAAGCTTCATTCAGCATTGCTCACTAGTGACACCTACAGTAGCCACTGTGCAAAGAAGTATCGGACAAATTCATTAATTCTGAACCAATGACCTGAGCAGGCTTATGATGTCCGTATACCAGTGTCCAGATGTTTTATTTATTTATTTTCTTCTCGCTGTTAATGTCTGTAACCTTTCATTTGCAATAATAAAAAGACCCGAGGAGACATTTGTCCATTGCCTGGGTATAAAATAAAATATGTATCTTTCTCTGTCTGAATTTACTTGTGCAGAGTAATTATTCATACATTTTTTGGATATAGTGACAGTATGAACAACAAAAGCGACACTGTGTTGAGTGCAGTGCTTATGGTGGAGGGAGTGTAATAAAGTAAACTGTAACAGAATTGTTTCTTGGGTTTGTTTGTTTTTTGGAGTGAACTGTTACTAGTTTGAGTGCAGTGTTGTGCTTATGGGATGGGGATATAGAGGAGCAAACTGCAACACTGAAGTTTGGGGTGGGTGAATGAACGATTACAATAGATTTTTATTGAGAAACATAATTTTTTCAAGTGTGTTGGGGTTTAGATGATTCCTCTTCTTGGACAAAACCTCTTCAGCCTTGGAAAAGATCCTTTCACAAGAAACAGAGGATGCAGGGGAACATAAAAATGCCAGTGCCAGTGGATATAAATGAAGATATTGATGCTTCTGTTGAGCCCAGACAGGGGAGGATCTCCTCTTTCTTGCTGGCTCCATTACCAGGAAAAAGGAAGAGGTCACAAAAGGAAACAAATCCAAAAGGGCAATCCAAAACAAAAAGCAGTCCAGATCCAAAAATCCAAAGCAATCCAAATAATCTTATCTAATTAATATAACAATTAAGACTATAATATAGCTACTATAATTAATGATAACAGTATACTATAACTATTCTAACCTGATATAATGTACAGCCCTAACACATTTATGACTCAATAACGACAATGCCAATTAGATTTCTCTAATTCTGACTCTCTGATGCTACTACACCTGCTTCTACTACTCCTGAAACAGCCACAAGGTGGCGCGAGTTTCGAACCCCGTTTATCCGGAAGCGACACTCAGACAGAACCGATGACGTATTCACACAAACCGAGGCCTCGTTTGTCATTAGTCACATGATTTCCACGTTAACAACACAAGCCTCAATCGCGGCTTCATCTGGCACGCCCATTTTTCCTCGACACAAGCTCCGACGCCTCGGTCCAAATGTTACATCACTAGCCACTGGTTCTGCCTGGTTCTTTAGTAGTCACAGTCCTTTTTACCTGGCACCTTTCAGCTGGTTATGAAATTAATCATGTGGCGCTCCACAGCCTTCACTTCATTACCTGTCCACTTGCTCCTCACCTTCCCAGCTGTCGAATGTAAACAAACGAAATGTATTAAAGATGAAAAAATGGCTCTGCTAAAGTGAAACATTGAGGATTTGATAAAAAATATTATATTTTGTTACATCCGTTTTCTGATAAGTTATGTTTTTTTTTCTCTGTTTAATATTTCCTGTTTTATTTCACATGTCTGTCCCTATTTGTGGATGCTAGTTCGTCTCCTCTGTATCAGTAAGCGTTCCAGCATAGTTTGTTTCCCAGTGTTAGTCTCCTAGTATTATATTGACCTTTATTCTGTGTACCTTGACTCAGCCTAAACCTGACTGCCATTTCCAGTCGTGATAATTTAGTAGTTATGATAGTATATGGCATTCATTAAATTAAATAAAAAAATTTTAAAGAGTAATGTGGATACAAAATGCTCACAGTATTTACCTTGCTTTGCAGTGGAGCACTTTGAAGAAGTTTGGGATGTAACCACTTGAAGTGCTGTGTTCTGCTGGGAATCTGAAAATAATGAATTTAAATATATTTCAGATAAAAGCACAACTTCACATACTGCCACCGTCTCTGTGAAGGCAAGAATAAATCATTGTTTTCATTATGAACGCATTCACTTTTTGGTGTGCAAATTTTGTATTTTGGTGCCTTTTATATTTGACCATGTCTTGGTTGAGTGTTGCTGACGTTAACGTTGTCCAAGACGGTTGAGGTAGAAGTGCCCTCCTAATTATCCAGGGTGGTTGAAGCATGCGAGTGCCTCAGAAGTGTCAGATCCCCAGAAGTATCAGTTCTTGAGCCTTTGAAAAGCAAAAATGAAATATGAGCATTAATGACAATGAGTTTGTTTGATTGTATTATTTTATGAAATCAACCTCAATGTCAGACAACAAAAGAGCTTAGTGGAAGTCTGAACCTGCTGGCTTGGCCCACTCATATCAAGAAGATTACTGTATCTCTCCTCATGGTGGGATATCAAGAGGAAGGCCCACCTCTCTATTGTTTCCTGTATCTGAGTAATCTTCTAAGCTACCTCTACCTCTTACTTTACAATGTTAGAAATTACCAGCATTTCACAATAATTAACAGTATTATTTTACAGTAACTTCATTGTTGTAATTAAGTTTCCCTGTAATATCCCAATGAATACCTGTAAAAACTACAGTATCCTTGGATTTTACAGCATTTAACTCTTATTTTACAGTAAAATCTTCCAATCTAAAACCTGCTGTTATATCACAACAAGGTCTGTAATATCACAGCAACAGTGAAAAAAATGAAGGATTTCACAGCATTAAACAGTATTATTACAGTGAAATATTGTATTGAATTATGCCCTGGGAAGTCACATGACATAACCGACCTGTTTTGAACTGAAGGCTCCGTCGTGTCCCTCTTCTATTGCGGGCTGAATGGAGAAGGTGAGCAGCATGCATGTTTGCAGCATTTACACCCATGTTATTTTAATATGATAATAATATTTACTTTCAAATAAACGTTTATCGCATGACACAGTTCACATTTTGTTAGCAAGTGCCCGGAATTGTTGAAAGTTCTCTCACAGCATTTGCTAATAGTAGTAGCCTAAGAGTTTCGCTAAAATTTTTCATGTCACTATCACCGTTTAGACAAATCTGGTGTTTGTAAAGTTTATAAACCAATGATGGGACAAACATTACTGTAAAAAAAGATTTCCATGATTTGTTAACACAACATTTTTTATTTTGTCAAATCCACTTAGATTCACTAATGTTGTTCAAATAACAAAACATTTTTAGTTTAGGTTGATTAAACTAATGGCTTGGTGGCAATGCACTGATATAAAATAAAAACATTAGTTGATTGTACTAATACATGGATTTCTCGGCGACGTCATCACTGCTTGCGCACGCAACCAGGAGGCAAAAGACCCGCGGTCTTCGTACCGGAGTAAAGGGTTTAGGCTAGTAGCATAGTGGTGGTGTTGTCGCTAGCTGCAGGTATGCCAAACTCCTAATTTTGATTAATTAATAAACGGACACTTTTTGTTTGTTACACAATGTGTTTGCCTTTCCTTAGTAAAATGTGTGTGTGTGTGTGTGTGTGTCTCTTTCTCTCTCTCTCTCTCTCTCTCTCTGGAGCTGGAGCTGGATGCTGTACAAGAAGAAAACCAGCAGCTGAAAGAGAAACTGAAGAAATCCAAATTTGGGTTCAATTCTATTTCAGACTCTGCGCTTTGCTTCTTCACCGGTCTCCAAAATGTACAGGCTTTTTTTTATGACTTTTGAGCATTCTCAAAAGAAGCTCAGCGATCACACTGAAGGGTGGATAAACATGGGAGAACCACCTCCTGTTAGTGCTCCTGAAATTAAGGCTTGCCCTCTCCAACAAGGATCGATTCGGCCTTTCTTCTCCACTGTTTCCAAAATTTTAAGGGAGTGGGTACCCCTGCTGTCCTCTGTCCTAAAACCACTAGTAATTTGGCCCAGTAAGGAAGCAGTGAGAGCAAACTTGCCTAAATCATTTAAACCCAAATTCAAAAACTGTAGATGCATAATTGACTGTTGTAACTCCCTCCAAAGCATACACAGACACAAGTGGTTATCTCGCTACTGGTTTAATTGAAGACTTTTCTCCAAATCCACCGTGAAAACTAAACAGTACAAACAGAAAAAATACAGAAATGACATCGGCTTGACACAAAGCGAAAGCTATCCACAATAGCGCGTGCAACAGATGTAATGACATTTTACTGACAAAATACAGACAAATAAAACAAAATACCTCGTTGGCTGCATGCTGCGAGAAAGGGAAATAGTCTTTGAATCTTCCTTACAAATGTCCTTTGTAACAATAATAAAGCTTTATCTGAGAATACATATAGTATGTGCTTGCCGCTTGCTTGCATGAACCTCTGAAGTTGAACCGCATGAATCTGATGTGAAATCCACATTTGCGCATAAACTTGAACCAATCCTTCAAAATAAAGGTAGGCCTACTGCAACTTATATTAAAATAAATAATGTATAAATAACAAACACAATTAAATTTTAATTATGAAAGTTAAAATAGAAAAATAAACAAATTATATCAACAATATATTGGCAGCATTTACAACTGTACTGACATTTTTTATACAAAGGACATACAATTTGAACGCCAGAGTTGAAACTTGGTCCAATTACAAACACCAGAACACAATCAAATATTTAATTGGCATAACACCTGCAGGCTCCATTTCCTTTCTGTCCGATGGGTGGGGTTGTCGGGCCTCAGACAAACTAATTACATTAGATTCAAACTTTTTAAACAAACTTGACCATGGTGAGGTCATACGTGCAGACAGAGGGTTCCTAGTAAGAGAAGAGTTGGCGAGTGTGGGAGCAACTTTAAAAATCCCTAGTTTCACTAAGGGTAAGTCACAGTTGTCTGGTTTGTGCGTTGACACGTCCCGACAGTTATCGAGGGTTCGTATACATGTAGAACGTGTAATTGGTCAGCTGAAGAATTTCCAAATATTGAACAGCATCATACCAATAAGCCAGGTTGACATGCTAGATCACATTGTCACCATTTGTGCAGGTCTCACAAATCTGAAGAGGTCTGTGGTCCCCCGGAAATAGACAGCAGCATGTGTATGTATATATGTAAAAAAAAAAATTATAATAATTGTCCCGACCCCTAGTTTAAGAACCACTGCTTTATGTTGTGATTCAAACGGACCAACAACTTGAATGTAGCTTACAATATAATGATTGTAAAAACAAGTGTTAAAAATATATAACTATGTGTGATGTATGAATAATTAATGATATTTGTAATATAAAGTAATGTAACAAACTAAATGTAATTAATGAATATATATTTAACAAAGATGTATGACTTGAGGTGACTTTTTTGGGGGGGCATAATAATAATATAATAATAAAACCAGGTTGCATCATGTGCAGTACAGTATCCACCTAGGCTATGTCTTCACATCCACATTTCCATTTCCATTGTCTGACAATGTTCACACATCTATAGTGGAACTGCTTGCAACAGTCTATGCATGTGATCATTTTGCCAAAGCTGGGTCTTTTGCAACGAGGACAGTTGACCTCTTCAGCCAACTGGGTGGTCCATGAAGAACACTTCACCCTTTGAAAGGGTTTCTTCAAGGAAGTGGCCATCTCTCCATATCCGGCGGGTGATGCTATTGTTCTTTGTCCACACCATGAAATCACACATGTTCAACTGGCAAACATACATTTGCAGTTGAACCTGTGAGTAGTATGAGTGGTTTTGGCGCAGCTCATAATATTCATCTAGGCAGAAGGTAGCATCAGCTTCAGACCCCTGTAGTCCCTCTCTGTATTTGTACGGACATTTGATCTCTAGTAAACCTGTTCCACAACAGTCACAGGAGAATACCCAATCAGGAGAAGCAGCCAGATATGGCTTGTCTGCTTTTACGGTTAGCCCCACTGCTTTTAGGTTGAAATTTGTATGTCTTCCTCATTTCTGTTTCATAACACTGACGTGCAGTATCTTCCATTTGCCTGCCCCACATGACAGCTGGTACAGTGAGCTCTTTGGTGTCATACTGCATTACATGTTTGACCACACTTTCAACTGAAGTCTGCTTACATCTAACAACCCTGTTAAAAGTACTTCCAGTTATACGTCCTACTCTGTGTATGTTCCATGTTGTGCACTTTGCCTGCTCTTTAGTCACATCCTGTAGATGTTCCAGTTTAAAAATTGTGCATCTTATTCTCATTTTGTCAAAGCTAACTTCACACTTAACTTTTAGGTCAGCTGGTGACAGGTCCCTTGCAGATGGATCATACATGGCTGTCAGAGGTTCAGGGAGTTCGTATTCAGTTTCAGAGGCTGTATCTGTGTCAGAGTCCATAACTGTGTCCCAATGTGAAGGCCGCGGACTTCGAAGGATGCAGCCTATTCGTCCTTCGAAGGACGCACCATGTAGCCTTCGTGGGATTTCCTAATTGCGCAACCAGGTGTTCCCTATTACCCCTCCTGGCGCCAAGCAACGGTGCGAGAGTACAGCTGGCATCCTGATCATTCATTTGATATAATTGAGTAAACAGCCATGGAGACAGAATTGGCTATTGCCATTTTTTTTGTTTTATAATTTACTGGAGGACAGGGTGAGGATGTTTCAGCCCCGGCGCCACCGAGTCATGTATTTTCGGCTTAGCCAAGACCATGGCCAGAGCTGGTTTACTGCGTACCTATTCAGAGGCTGCGTCCTGAATGGCCGGATTACACTTTAAACTGTTCAAGTATTGGGTGTTAACTTGCGTAAATAATGTAGTGAAATATGAAAAGAAAAGAAAACATACATAGCAAGCACACACACACACACACACACATTAGGGGTGGAACGGTACATGTATTCGTATCGAACCGAAACGGTACGGGCGTCACGGTTCGGTGCACGAATTTACACGGAGAATACACGGTATAAAAATAAATAAAACTCGCGGTCAAATTAATGAATGTAATGCGGAACTACCGTTAGATACGCGGGTTCTTTAGGGACACATAATCTGTACCATCGGCTTAGCTCTGAACGCGCGTTCACTTCAAACGTTGGCTTTATACGTGCGTTCTATTCGCTTTGGACTAGCGTCGAACTAGACGCGATAGACACGAATTTAACGCTCTATTCGCGTTTGGTGTGACCGCATGCGATGTCAAGATTGCAATGCTGGAGTGTGTGTGTTTGTGTGAGAGAGAGAGAGAGAGAGAGAGAGAGAGAGAGAGAGAGAGAGAGAGAGAGAGAGAGAGAGAGAGAGAGAGAGAGAGAGAGAGAGGCGCGCGA